ATTTGCCCAACCTAGCTCCTGACTTAAGTCCCTAACACCCTTCCTTTTACGGAAGAGAAAGAATAGCTCACCTGGGTAAGAGTACATGACCCCAGGCAGCTTGGAAAGCAGTTCCAGGAGCCAGCAGCTGAGCTCAGAGGCCCAGGGCCCCAGAAATGCCCCTCAGGGGAGGTTCATCTCAGCATCAGAAGCCCTGCTACATCCAGCCTGGTGATGGCAGGCATCCCATCCTAGGGAGGTTGAGGACCAGACTTCCTTGGCACTGTCCAGATTAGCCAAGTGAGACTCTGAATCCTTCCCTTAAGGGGAAGCCAGCCTTGAATTGGCTCACAGCCTGCCATGGGTTCTGTCTTCAGAATGGCTCTGTGGGCAGAGCCTTGCAGCCTTAGACACTGAGTGGCCCTGAGGCTTTGGGGGGCACAGGAGGTCTCTTAGGATCACAAAAGGCTCCCCATCTGGATCAGCACATCTGCCATGTTCGCTGCCATTCTGAACCCAACGTCCGATACCGTCCGATACTCCTTACCTTTCACTTCTCACTCAGCTGGACCAACATAAGACTTACTTGCAAGAATAACCTTTGTTACTTAGGAACCTAAATTAGTGAATGGTTCCTAAGTAAAGCTCGCCAACAGGTCCATGGTTTGGGGTGGGGAGAAGTGAGCAGAGGAGCTGTTAAAACAGTCTGTTTCCAACAGCTCAGGTGACACTGACCCTTACCCAGCTATGCCCAGCATCTACACAGAAAAGTACCATGAATTTTCAAGAAAGAGACCCCAAAGCCTGGCCCAGGAGCATTGGTGACCTTTTCCAAATATTACCCCTGGGTAATATTTCCTTTCAGAGTTGCCCAGCGCAGCCCCAGAGCGTCCCGTGTCACCACAAGTGCAGGTCCCGCCAGCAGTTTAGGGAAGACTTCCCCTAAACCAGCCCCTGTGTTTGAGATTGGAGCAGCTTCCATGGCAAAGAAGAGAGGAAACAATGAGCTTTATAAAGAACCATATTTATTTTCATTTACAGCATCAAATACCATAAATAAAGCTAAACATCGTTTGCTGTGTGCAAAATACAGGGGGGGTTCCATGTGGCACTGTAAATGACTACCAAAGGTCACAGACATGCGTTGCGATGAGATGGGGTGGGAGAGGCTAGCTAAAGAGAAGGCTGAGAGGGAAGGAGGGCCCTCTCTGGTTGACATTCTCTAAAGGGAGGGAGACTCTGCAAGAGAAGACAAGACAAGAGCGATGACTTCGTACTGGCTAGAATCTGCCCCAGTGCAGTGAGCAATGCAGCATGCAGGGCTGTGCAGACAGGCCGAGAGGTGAGCGTGGCTCTGGGCCGCATGCAGGACAGACGCCACCTTCAGCCTGAGACCCTGAGGCCTGGCCCACAACAGTTCTACTGTACTGGGCATGGTGTTTCTCTTTAAAAGCGCTCTGAGCATCCTGCTGCCGCAGGTAACGAGTCAGTGGGAATATGTGTTTTGAGCAGAGCCATGGGGGGCATCGACACTGGCTGCTCCAGGCCTGGGCTGAGCTGACTCATTTCTCAAAGCCATCCCCGGCCTGTGACAATGATTGCTCCAACCGAAGCTTCTGCATCATCTGGGGCTTTATGAGCCAAGAACAAGAAGAGCCATAGCAAAGCCCTTGTGTCTAGAGTACAGGCTGTGCTAGGGAAAGGATTTGCCAGGAAAACTGTGATTGGGTGTTCAAAAGACAAAGCACGAGTCAAGCTTACGATAAAGCCTGGGATCATTTTCTTTCTTTTTTTTTTTTTTTTTAAATCTTTCTCAGAAGAGTCACCTGTGGTTCTGATCAATAATCTTTAGACTAGAAGCCATGCTCATATGCATGTAGTTTTTCAGAGGCTACTAGACAGAAGTTCTTTCCAAAGGTGAACAGAGCCCTCTCTAGCGTCCTGTCTCACAGCTGGGGGTGACCGTCCCAGGAAGGTAAGTGGCTTCGCGACGGGAAAGGCACGTGCATGCAGGCCACGCAGGGAGCCGAAGGGAGGCAGGCCATGCACCTGGTGTGGACCGGGCTGCCGGCTCAGAGGCAAGTAGAATCAAACACGGCTTTCGAGCGGAACGCCACCCCACAGTGTGAACCCACCATGCCATGGAATGAGCCCATTAGTATGCCGGATATTCACAGTTAGCACAACCCGTACCGCGGCGGGGAGGTTGGGGCACGGAAAGCAGGTTAGGCGTTAGTACCACTCTCTGAAAATGGGCAAGAAAACCAGTCACCTCAGAGCAGAAGTGTGTCAGCCAAGAAGTGGGTGTAGCACTGGAAGGCTGAAACGAACTGGTGGCCACAGTGTAAGGTTGGAAAGAGAGAGACAGAGAGGAGAATTTAGTCTGGCGGGGGAAAAAAAGGAAAAAGACTGGTAACACAAAAGGCACAGCAGTTGAAGGTGAGGCAACCATTAATGAAAGAGAAACTTCTCCAAACTACTCACTGCTTGCTCGGCACAGATGAACCCTTCTGGTGGTGCCCACCTACTTCTCCGCCAGAGTGGATCCGTGTGGTTGGCCCGTGCCAGTGCTCCCCTGCGGTCCCCTCAGGGCTCCACGCATCCTCAGGACCACCCCTCCTCCCCGTCCCCCTTATCGCTTTGCCCCAGTTTTACTCTGGTGTCTCACACTCATTCTCGAATGTGCTGTGGAGGCTGAGAGGCATCTGCCTCCCAGAATCCACCATGCGTGGGGCCCACCCACCAGAAAGGTTCAAAGCCTCAAAGCATACAAACATCTCAGGCTTCTGACAGGCACATCCTGTCTCTCCAGGGTCATTCAAACCAGTCTCTTTCTGGCCGTAAATGACATTCTCAGAGAGTCTAACTCTGGCTTCGAGGAGCATTCCACAGAGCACCTCAGCCCGCCCTGAGCTGAAGACAAGAGCGATGACACGGCTGTGCGTGTGTTCACATCATGACCTCGAGAATGATCCTTTTTAGAGTCAAGCAGAGCATGACCCAAGGGCTCCCCCCACCATACCGAATATTAAAATCCCAGAAAAAAATTGGAAAAACCCAACACGAGTCATCAGACCGACAACGGTTCCAACGAGGGCAGAGGTGCCAGTTCCCGTGGACTTGGCCACAGCCATGCCCCTGTTTTATCCAAGGACCTGAAGGAAGCGTGTGTAGAAATGCCTCTGCCCTTCTTCCTGCCCTATAGAGACTTGTCATGTCCAAGCTCTCCAGCGCCCTGGCTTCTAAAGCTCACCAGGTTCCATTCTTACTTGATCTAGAAGGAGATCTCTAGTGTAACGACTGCAGAGAGCACTCTCCGGCCTGGCCAACTCTAGATCTTCTGAGCGAGACGGGAGGCCTCTCCCTAGCAGCCTCTCCGCTGTTCGGCCAGACCCACAGCGGTGCCAAGTGCAGGCAGAGCGGAGAGGGGGGAGCTGAGGCCTCCTCTGCAAGCCCAGAGTCCAGAACACAGGTAGGCCCAGAGCCCACTTCTGCCCTTAACAGGGCCTATTCCTTTTGTATCTGTCAACAGCTTCCACTCCCAGCCTCCCCTGCCGTCCAGACACAGGAGGCCAGACACATTCCTTTGCTAGGACAGTGGGAACACAAATGGTTTCTGGCTGTTTCCACCTAATATGCATGGCGGCCCGAGTGGCTGAGCACTGGAAGCCGTGCTCACCCGGGAGGTCATGCTTCCCAGAAATCACACACCCTGAGGTGCTAACAAATGGCCTCAGTCCCAAAGCACCCTCCAAGAGGGCGGGTTCCTCCCTCGGCCTGATCTTTACGGACCCTGAGTGGCCTTGGCTCAGTCTGCAGCCTGGGCTGAGGACCTGAGAGGGGCCCCCCCCCCCGGGAGGGGCAGGGTGGGCACGGCTCTCCAGCTCGCTGGAGCTCCTTGAGGTCAGGTGCCAAGGGGCTGCCCGAGGGGTGCTCACTGGTGGCAAGGACAAAGTATGTTTATAGCAATCTGCTTGAAGCCTGAATGTCCTTTGGCTGTCATCTGGTATGAGGAGGAAAAACCCTGAAGCTACTATTTTACATCCAAACAATGGTGCAAAACAGTCCCCCTCCCTCTGGGAGGGCCCGTGACACCCAACTACACGCTGCCCTGTGCTTCTGTAAGGCTTAATTCTCCTCTGATCTACTCTTTTCTTCTAAACTGATTATGCTTTCGAGTTCAAAACACTGTCCCCTGTTGACAAGTGGCATCAGGGTACATACATCAAAAGGCACTAGTCAGGACAAGGTGGCACACTCACTTCGGTTTATGAAAAAAAAAAAAAAAAAAAGCCCAAATCATTAATGTCGCAGGCAGTGACCAGGACAATGGACTGCAACGTGGAAGGGACTTGTAATACCAGTTATAAACTTCAAACCGTGTTTAGAAAAATTGACACTCGTAGAAAAAAAAATGCTTTCTCTTGGCTTATGAAAAGTTAAAAACTGAAATGTAAACCTAGATATATGGCTCGCTTTGGTATAAAAGAAGTACAAAGCTATATAGATATAAAAAAGACAAACCATCCTTCATGTCATGCTGGCCCCAGCACCAGGAGCAGATGCTCCCCCTGACAGTCAGGCGCAGGGGGCCAGCGTGCACCTCTTTGGCTTTGAGCGAATGGGTTAAGAATGCTAGGCCTCCTGGCCAGAGCCCCGGCTAACTGCAAACACACTGCCGTCTAAACTGGAAATGGGAGGGCGCTCCCTGGGGCGGGTGGCATTTCACTGGAGCTTGACCGGGAAGCATCTGAGCACCCAGTTGCGGATGGTCTCGAGGGACTCCTCAGACTCCCGGTACATGGAAGCCAGGACCTCGAAGAACACCCAGAGGAGGGGCAGCCCGAGGCTCAGGAGCTCGTAAGTGTAGCAGTAGTTGTAAGCATTGTCCCTGAAATGAAGGCCGGCGGCACGCAGGAGTCCCCGAATCCAGTTAAGCAGGCTCCGGGGAACGTGAAGCAGGCCCCAGGACAGCCTGAGAGGCCAGCTTAGCGCCTTCCTAAAGAAGGAATTGGTGATACCTGGAGGGCTGCCTGCAGGAGTGCCAATGGCAGCGGCTGCGCAAGAACTTTCCACGGGAGTGTCTCGCCGAGGGGCCTCTTGCTCTTTCCACGTTCCCTCCTCCTGGGAGAGGGAACAAAGGGAGGGCATTTAGTCCAGGACTCTCACAGAGCACCCTTCCGATGAAGCAGCTGGAGAGGGCCAGTGCAAACTGACCATGGTGGTCCCTGCCTCTTCCAGCGAGCCCGCCCAAACAGTCTCAGCCCCCAAGCACTGCTTGCTGAAGGGGCGCTGGATATGGGGCCAGCGTGACCACAGGCTTAACAGGCCTTCAAAACACAAACGTCCTTTAAAAAAAAAAAACAAAACCCGCACGTCCTTTTGACTCCGAAATCCTATTTCTTATGCCCTGTCCTCAGTAAATAATTTGAAATGGGGACAAAGACGTGCACACAAAGATATTCGCTGGGGGAAAGAGTCGTAAGGTAAAAATGTGGCACAAGATGAACACCCAACAACATGAGACTTGTTAAATAAATCATCAACCATCTTTTACAGGCATCCGAAATGATGCTCTGAAAGAATTTCTAATGTTACGGGGAACGGTCCCTGATATGCTTGTTAGTCTATCAAAAGGAGGATATGAAAGTGCAGCGGTAGGATTCCAGCTGGTTAAAATACGTTCATAAGGGGAAACGTCACAAAATGTTAGTTATGAGTTTCTCAGAATAGAGTGGTGATGGATGATTTAACTTTCTTTACATTCTTTCATTTATCCATTTTTCTACGTTAGGCCTAGGTTACTGGTATAATCCGAAAAGAGCGTGGGTCCTTGTGGGGAAGGGGGGGGGGTAGGGTTCTGTGAATCAAGCGGTAGAGAAGGTCCTTGCTAAGAGCCACCAGAGGTGATGCCACTATCACCATACACTCAGCGGGCTATCACTTTGTTGAACCTGGGGCAAGAACCTGGGGAAAGGTAGGACCCACGGGACGTACCCCTGCATACACTGTGGTCACGTGGGGCCCAGGCATGGGGGACCCTGTAGTTTCCACACAGCTGGGCATACAGTCCCATCCCTGGGACACGAGAAAGCTCTCCCGAGCTGCTCCAGAGAAGCCAGCCCCACTGCTCACCGGGGAGCCGGCCTCCAGAACGGGATAAACCCGGAGGACGGCAGAACAGGCTAAGGCAGAGGGACCCTCCGCTCCGCAGAGTACACACTTCCCTCTTCATCTGTGGGTCGCAGTCCCTCCAGGGTCAGACACAGAAACTCTGGCCTGACTTGGCGGGGCCCTCGAAAACTGCCTCCCATCCGGGGACCTTCCCTGTATCACCAGCACTTTCGAGACAAAGCATACCTCTCTCTGTTGCTTCAACTCTGCTCGTCTCTTCCTTTGCTGACTGTTGGTCTTACAGTGAATGAAATGAGGCTTGCAGAAAAACTTGCCTGTAAAAGGAACACACACACATGCACACACGGGTTTTCTCCTATAAATGAGAGCAGTGGTACCTGGCCAATGTCTGCCCCTGTCTAGGGCAGAGAAGGCCAATAGCGGGAGTAAGCCCAGGAGGCCTCGAACTTGGGTCTCTGTCGCCTGTCCTAAAGAAGCCACGTTGAGATGAGGTCTCAGGACCCTTTGCTGCCTCAGAGGCAGACTGTAGCCATGGGGGGTGGGGGTGGGATGCCAGGGATGGGGCTGAGGCCCTCAGATAGTCCCCACGGCAAACCGAGGCCAAGTCCCTTCCCAAGGCCAGCTGCCAGGCTGCAAAATGGGCAGCTCTGAATGTCAGCATCGTTTCCAGTTCCCGATCCTTCCTGGGGCTCCTGGGGTGGGAGAGGCTCGAAGCAGATGGCAGGAGTGATGGGGAGGAAAAGACCCAGGTGAGGCACACCCTGGGCCACTGGCCACAGCCCAGGACCATTGGGCGCCTTCCAGAGAAGCCTTCTTCGTTCACTGCTACAGCAGTAATCTCAGGGACGGTAACAACCATAAAACAGGAAAAACCTACGCAGGACTCACAGTATAGCGGGCTCCCCGGGAATTAACCCACGCGAGCAATCTCGCAACAACCTTATGAGCTAAGACCTGTGATTATCCTCCTCTTACAGATGAGGTAACGGAGGGACCAGGAGGTTAGGTAACAGGCCCGCGGTTACGTGGGTTTACGGTGCATCCTGGCAGGTGCTTCTCGGGGGGGGGGGGGCGGGGGGAGGCTGCTATTACCGTGACGTTTGCGATACCCCCTTTGTAAATAACATTAATATATCATCATTTATTGAACCCTGGTCACAAGCCAGGTGTGGTGCTGAGTGTGTGACAACGCTACAGAGGTTGGATTTTCTCGACCACACGGGGCCACGGGAGGTGGGGAGACTGGCCGAGGACGCGTATGTCAAGTGCTCGGTACACAGCAGGTGCCGCCGCTGGCACTTGGCAGGTGCTCACAGCACCCCGGGCCCCCCCCCAGAGGTGCCCCCTCCTCTCTCTAGGATCTTCCCACTCCTGGGGAAGCGCAGGGCGTCCCAGAGCCACCAGGGTCGAGCGCTGGGCCGGCCCCAGGGGTTACCTTCGTCGCCGTCGAAGGCATAGGCGGCCAGGCGCAAGGTGGTGGCGCAGGCGCTGCAGCGGAAACACTCTCGGTGGAAGAAGTGGCCCTCTGCGCTCAGCCGCTCCATCACGTACACGCGCTTCTTGCAGAAGTAGCAGGTGTCGCTGCCGCCCAGGTTCAGGGGAAAGACTTTGCGCATGGATTCCTGGGGGCACAGGGTGGCGGGAGAGAAGCACCGGCGTTAGGGCTGACACGGGCACTCGCCACGTGAGGCCGGGACTCCCGGGAATTCCGGCCTCGATCGTGGGGACCTCCTGGGCTCCTGTTTGCTGCTCATGTCACTGCGGGCACCGCAGCAGAGAGCGAGGGGTGGGAGGACAGCTCCCTCTGCAGACCCCGTCCCTCTCGGGCTGCTGCTAATTCTGCTCCCAGGCAGGCCAGCTGGCGAGTGGGGGGGTGGGGCGCAGGTCCTCCCCAGGAGGCCAGCTCGGGTTTTGGGCGGGGGTGGGGTCTCCCCATCTGACACAGTGGGCACCCCTCACCAACATGCCTGCTCAGCGACCTGTCTCCAGGAATCCGCCCCAGAGACGAAGTGCTGCCCGGGCCTAGGGTGAGGTCCCTGAAAGAACACCTCCACACCCCAGTCCTCCTGCAATGACTTAGGCCAGGCAAGGAAAGCCTGTGGCATCCAAACGGCTCAAGAGAACTGCAGGAAAGGGAGAGGAGGTGCCCTCTAGCCCCCCAGGGGCTGCCAGGCAAATTCCTAAGTGGGAGGGAGGAGGGCGAGGCCAGGCAGCGGGTGTGCCTGGGGGGCTCTGGGGCGATGTGTCAAAAGGTTACCAAGAGAAGCATCCGGTCAAATGGCTGGTGATGGCAGCAGGCAGCCTTGTTTGGAGAAAGGAGAATTCAGAGGGAAGGGTATCTCTCTGTCGCTGGATTCTCAGCCCAGTGCAAAAGGGCCTCTTTGGACGCCCAGGGCCAATGGTAAGGGATGCCTCACTAAGCCAGTGGCCTGCCCGGCCTTTTCAATGTGCTCTTCAGAGCCCCAGACAGCAGGTGAGAGGCTCTGTGTCGTGCAATGACCCATAGGGGAGCCGAGTGGGGTTTGTCATTCAGAAAACGCAGCGCCCCCCCACCCCCGTCGAACCTCGGCTCCGGTCTACCCCATTCTCACGCCTCCTGTCCATAAGAAGGGGCCCTCGGGTGGGCCAGGCCATCCTCTCTGGGAGACCAGAGCCAGTGTCTGCGGGTAGAGGCTGAGGGGTGTGGTCCTTACCAGGTCTGGAGAGGTGGCCTGGGTCTTAGGTCTGTGATCATTCATGTACAGATTGACCAGGACTTCAGCTGCAGCCCCTATTCCGCTGGACACTTTCCCTACCGTCAGCTACCCAAGAGCAGAGGTAGAGGAGACAGAGACAAAGGTAGAGGCCAGTTAGCACCAGAAGGAAAGCGCAAACAGGCTGGATGTGGGACAGGGCTCCACACCCACATGCAAACAGCACCCGACGTCCCAGGAGAGGCCAAACCAGCCTGGAGCGGGCGGCAGGCACTCTGGAGATGGAGAGAAGGACAGAAATGGAACCCCGGGGCCTGGGTGGGCCGGGTGACTTGTACAACTAGCCCCATGGGCGCACGAGGCCTTCGGGATTCGCGTCGAGTTTCTTGGTTCACAGATGGGGTAAGTGAATCCCAGAGAGAGGAAGGGATCTATCCCAGGCCACTTAGCAAATACACGCACGATTCCGAACTCTTCTCAGGTCTCCTGACCCGCAGCCCGGGTGCTCTCACACCCTAAGGAACCAGGACCTCACCAACAGACAGCTGACCGGCAGCCACCCTCCCATAGAGATCCCTCCTCTTTGGAGGGCTGTGAGCTGCTGCTTCAGCTGCTTCTTGAGCAGGACTGCTGTACCCCCACCCCCCAGACCGGGAGGAAGGGTTAGAACCCCAGCTCCACCGTGAACCAGTTCTGAGGCGAGGCACGAAACTCTCGACTTCTGAGCTCAGTTTCCTTACTTAGTAGGATGGGGAAAATAATGCCTGCCTTTCTGATGAATGGTAAGGTAAGAACTGAGGGAAAGAATGGGTGTTCAAGTGCCTGGCGCTCGGCGGGGCTAGGCCAGGATGAGCTGGACTCCTCCCTCCCGGCTTCCTGAGTGCAGCAGGTCCCAGCTTGCCTTGCAGCCCCCACATCCCTGGGGAGCAATGGTGCTGTCTGACCTGAGCCCCCCAGGCCTACAGAAGCAGGGACTGGAATGGCAGCGAGGAGGCAACAGGATGGGTGCTCCGCCGTGCGCTCTGGGCAGCAGTGGCCAGAGGCCCCGGGCTGGTGCTGGCAGGTCAGCTCCACGTGGGCCCTGGGCACCACTGCCTGGCCGGTGGCAGGTGCCTGTGCTCCAGAGGCATGATGGCCACACCCACCTTTGAGTGCCCGGATCCCCATCCATGGGTCTTGGAGCCAGGCCAGGGGTGGAGCTGACAGCCCAAGCAGACACTGCATAATCACACAGACACCCCCGGCAAACCCCACCTGCTCCCCCTTTCCCACCAGCTCTGAAAGGCCATCCCCAGGAAACCACCGCCGTCTCCTCATCAGGGAGGCAAATGCCACAGTAAGAGATGCCGTAAGCACCGTCTCTGGTTGCAGGATCCCGGGGGAAGGCAGGCTCCAGACCCTCCCCAGGCTTTGACTCCAGCTTCTGGGAGGTGCAGCCAGAGAGAAGAGTGGCACAGGCCGGTAGGTAGCAAACTACAGTGATGTGCGTGGTTGAAGGAAGGCCCTCGGTCTAAACCCAGGGCTGCTCCTGGGAGGCCGCATCTAATCTCCTACGAAAGCCTCAACTATAAAGCAGGAAGTTCGGAGGACTGCACAGTGACGGCAGCAGCCCCCCAGCGCCCGGTAGCAGGGCCCAGCCTCAGAACCTGAGACCAGCAACAGTGCAGCCACTGCAAGGGGGAAGGAGAGGGAAGGACGCCAAGCAGGCTGGGGACAATGACCAGCCCCAGGAGGCTCCTGCTCCCTTTCTCATTAAGGAAGCCCTGACGCTCACAGCCAGTTGGGAACAGTCACCCCTACCACGTGCGGGGCTCCTGGGGCTTGTGGCAGGCCGTGGGCCCTGCAAGCAGGGGGTCTGACCCCACAGCTCAGACACCTGGGAGCTCCTCAGACTTCACGAAGTCTGTCCCCTTCCTGGGAGCAATAGCTGCCAAGGCAGTCACCCCAGACCCACTTCACCTCCTGAGCTCCCCAGCCTGGGAGAGATGAGGATTCTGCTCCCAAGCACACTCTCAGCCATTCACAAATGCCAAGAAACCTGGCTCCTGTTTCTAGGAAAGATTCAGGTGCACTGGCTCAGGACAACAAGCCACTGTTTGCCGGATGTTCCACCCCCACTGGGAGCCCCCACCCACAAAGGGGTTGTAGAATACCCAGTATTTTTTGGGTTTATATCAAAACAAAGAAGGGAGGGACGACAGGAGGTCAGATTTACCTCCCTGCCCACACTGCCCTTGTGTGGCTGTCTCCAGTGGCCCAGTGTGTGAACCGGCTCCAAGGCGCTCTCCCAGAAAGACTCCATGGTGATGCCATGATACCCACGTGCAATTATTGCTTCCCTTGAGTTAGCAGAGATTGGACTATACTTTCCAGGCTTTAAATACAAGTCCCTAATAGGACCTTATTAACCACTTAGCTAATAAGCACTTTGTGCTGCTGAGCATTTATGCAATCCTGACTCAAGGAGCAATTACAGAAGCATGCCGAGGGCTGTAAGGTTGCTGGCAGGTGTCACCAGACCCATCTGTGCAGTCATGGGCTTGCTCAGTTGCTCTGGCAGGACAGGGCACTGCCTAGGTCACCTGGCCAGGTAATCTAGGATGAAGACAAAGTCTGGTCTTTCAATATGAGGCAAAAAGCCTCCTTCTCCCAGTTGCAATCACAGCCCAGCCCACTACAGCAGTTTCCCTAAGAACAACAAAAGCACCCTTAAGGAGAGCTTGGGAATCCCATGTGCCCCTCCCCACCTGATGGAAACCAATCCAGAGTCACCACTGGCCAATACCAAGAAGTGGACTGGACTATCTGGAGAGGTCACAGGGAGACCAGGTGATGGAGAACTCATCTCAAGAGGTGATGGGGGGCCCCCTGAAGCCCACCTCAAAGACCAGTGTGGGGGCAGACATTGCCCTGAGGATTATGGGTTCTCTTGTTTCTTATCAACAGGATGCCTTATTGGCTCAACAGAGTGAAGACATGACCAGCCAGACATGTGCTAGTTCACTTCTCCTCAAACTGTCAGTGGTAAATGACCAGATTTTGCTTTAAAAAAAAAATTCTAATCTGTTGTGACGTGGTATTTCTGGACATAACAAAAGTGAATTATTGGCAATAGGATCACATGCTTGGATGCATGGCAATGTCAGATTGCTCTATGAGTGTCTAATGCTCACTCTCACTTACTGTGCTCATTGGGTCACAGACCCAATGGACCACACGTTGAGTAGCACTGCTCTACACAACCAGGGAATTACCAGGCTCCTGGTAATTATCTTGGGATCCTAAGATAGAGATCAATTTGTAGAGAAACTTCCAGAAAACTCATCCTAGTGTTGACCTCAGAATGAGATCCAGAGGTTCTCAACAAGGAGATTCATGCCCTGAAAGGCAGGCCATATATGTTCCTGCGGAGGGCTGGTCAGGAGGAGAGTTTATAAGTTGGGTGAGTTTGTTCAAATGAAAGGAATGGCCAAAAATGATCCTATCCCAGTCACTAGTTTTTAAAGAACTGGTTATTCGGGAGGGCTGTGGGGCTGCTTTTGCAAACCTTTACGTGTCTCTCAATATTCTTATAATTTTGAAGAATTGGAGTATTTCTTATTACCTTCTTCCCCCTTTTGAATTCTAATTATTTTTTAGTTAATTAGAACAAGCTGGAACGGCTGGACATTTCTGGCGGGCCATTATCTCCCATTACATGTGATTAATCTCACATCCACCATTTCCCTCTGTGAGCCTCAGCTTCCTTATCTGTAAAATGGGGAGACCATTGCCATCCTTGCAGGGCTGCAAAAAAGGGTCACCAGGGAATCCAGGCCACACCTCGCATGGTACAGGACTCCCAAGAAGCACTTTACAGATAGTGAGTCCAAAGCACCACCACTGGTGTAGCTTTCTAGGACTTCTCTTTTCCTTTCTGAGATGGCCTTCACTCTGGGAAACTCTGGGTTCCTCGGGTTCCCTCCTCTGCACGAATAAGAACAATACGGCCCACCCCGGATGAGCACACCGGCTTCTCTTTGATGAGTCAGCTCAGATTCAAACACGGTGACATATCTGTTGTCACCAGAACCATCCCCAGAGTCTGTGGAAGATGGCTGGACCCCCACCAGGAGGCCCTCTTGAGGCAATCCTGGCGCTCTGAGCTCAGAACATGACAGTCAGTCCCTGGCTATACGTGAAGGAGCCTTTCTCGCCCAGCTCCGAGCTGAGCCATCTCCCTTCTGGTTTGCACTCCCTGATGTCACAACTGGGTCTTACTCATCCATATACTCCGGGCACAGGGTATTTGCTCTGAATGAGGGAGGAAGCAGGTCCCTGGGCCCACCTGGATCCCCCCGCAGGCCTGGAACTCAGCCAAGAATACCAGGTATGTCCAGGCTTTGCTCCACCACAGAGCTGGGCCACCTGGCCTGCCGCGAACATCATGAAGCCCATGCAGCTTGGGCAGGGTAAGGTGAGCCTCAAAGCTGAGAGCTCACAGGAAGGGGAAGCTTTGAAGGCAGGGCCAGGGGAAGTTTCTTGGGCCCATTCGGGCTGACACTCCCCTCTGAGGAGTCCCTATGGAAGAAACATTGGAGGATAGGCTGTGGGCCTGGGTGCCCAGTGATACGCTCGGGGCAAGAGCGAGAGAGGGCAACGATTGAAACGACCCTGTTTGAGGGGGTCCAGAAATGACATCCTCAGAGCTGAGACTCGGGCAGGCCTTTGGGGCTGTGACCTCCCCGTGGGCACCCACGTCTGCAACCTGCATCCCCTGGTGCCAGACACCGTGCTGTGATCATAAGCGTGTGGCCCGCACAGCCTTGCGAGGTGGGTCTCATAATCCCCCTTCGCAGATGGGGCAGCTGAGGTTCAGAGAGGCTCTAACTCACCTGAGGCCGCACTGTTCTTAAGTGGCTGGGATGGAAATGGAAACCTGAAGGCGACTTCTTTGCCTTTAGGAAGAGAGGAATCAACATGCATTTCAGGTAAAAGATCTCTCCTGGAATTCTCTTCCGCTGGGGAAAGAGCACGTTGACTGGACACTTCTGGCATTCTACATTTGCCAGGTCATTGCACTATTCCTGTCACCATCAGGGCTAGCTGCCGTCACCTCTTTTCTATAGGTTGGGGAACTGAGGTGCTGAGAGGTCCACCAACTCCTCCAAGGTCACACGGTGAGCACCCTGCTTCCCTGACACACACCAGCACTCTGCAAATTAAAATCCCCCAGGCTTGGGAGGCACATAGGACACCTCCAAAGGCAGTCCTATCCCAGGAACAAAGAGAAGGACAATGAGGTTGGGCGCAGCCTTGAGATCTAGCCTTGGATCAAATGAAAGGAAGACATAGTGCCCAGACAAGACTCACCTAGCTTCCCTCTAATGTGCAAATCTCTCCAGTAAACCCTGCAAATCCAGTTTTAAAACAAACACCCCGGGGTAGAGAAAGCTCCTTTTGTAATGCACATTGCTCTTCTAACCCAGGATGACTTAAACCACAGCTCCCCTTGCTCAAACACTCAGCCACCATCTTGTTCTTGCAAGAGCTCACCAGCCTTGGCAAGTGGCGAGCAGCCATGTGCGGTGCCGAATCAACTGGGACCTCCCTGCTTGAAAAAAGGAGTTAACTAATGGTTGATAGGGGGTTGAAAACACTATAGGAGGGCTGGTTTGATGGGATGGATGAGTCAAATGAATGCTGGAGACATAGGAGTGGATGTGATCCCTAGTCGGGTCCTTGAAAGACAAGACTCTGGTTAGGAACTAGATCCTAAATGAGAGGACCTCAATATGCCCTGGGACCATTCAGGCCAAACTCTCAGCAGCATCACTAAATCTTAAAGCAAAAAATCCACCTGAGAGGGCTGTCTGAAGACACAGCCCTGGCCACATCTCTCAGAACTGGTGTCCCAAGTCTGTATCCCCGTGAGTAACATATGGCCCCATCCCAGTCCAGGTAGGTCTGTTCCCATGTAGAGGGGATTATCCCTGGATCCTCAGAATTGGAGTGTAGCACTCTAGGGCAGGAAGAGAGACACAAGGCCTGCCTCAAGGTTGCCAAGGACTAAATATCAGTTTCCAAGTACATTTTCCTTCCTCTGGCTTCCCTGAATGGAGACAATTCTTGGGCCCTCAGGTAACGTGAGCAGCCCATAATCAGCTGGGAAGAAGTACTGCAACCTCAAGCTCTCTCCATGGGGGAGGCTCCCAGAGCTCCTTTAGGACAGAATGAAGTTTGTCACCAGGTTGTCACTGACCTCAAGGGGCAGCCGCCAATTCTTTTCAGAGGAGGCTGTCACCCTGCCAGGTTCTGTATGCACAAAACCTAGTGTTAAGTCAGTAGTAGGGTGGGGTCCAGGAGAGAGGGAAAGTGGTGGTGGTGGGTGGGGAGGAAGTTGCAGGGCCATTGGCAATATCCTGAGACTGCTGGAAACTGGAAATTCACCACTCACTCCTGTCTACAATGGCTTCACAGTGAGATCTGGAGGGCGCTGTGAATGTTGAGGCCAAACTAGGTCCTTTTTACAGAGAGACTAAGGCACCAAGATGGTAAGGGACTTGCCCAGTGTCCCAGAGTGGCCCTTTCGAAGAGCCCTCCACTCACTCCCAGCCACACTGTGAGAGGCACATCAGCCTGTAATTAATAGGCCCAATCGCACCATCACCTGATGGCCAAGGCTGGCTAAGGAGATGGGATAAGAAAAATGGGGGGGGGGTCACTGTTCGACCACAACCTGGTAGAAATAAAGAATAAAGCTGTAGGGGGGGAGTGGAGGGTGTGGGATTGGCCATCTCAAAGCCCATCCCATTTGCAGCTCTCGATGTGCTTGGGTGTGGAGCTCTACATGGCTACATAGACCTCTGAGCTGTGCCTCTGACAAGGCCTCCATTCACGCTTGGCCGCTGTGGTACAGAGAACACTGGGCCAGGGTCAGGAGTCGTGGGGACTAGTCTCCTCCTTGCACCTTTGTTTTCTTATCTGTGGCTCTACTCGTGCTCAGTTCTCTCTCCCAGGAAGAACCACCCCTACAACCACATTTAAAATTGCTACCCTTCCGGGTGCCTGGGTGGCTCAGTGGTTGAGCATCTGCTTTGGGCTCAGGTTGAGATCCCGGGGTCCTGGGATCAAGTCCTGCATCAGGCTCACTGCAGGGAGCCTGCTTCTCCTTCTGCCTGTGTCTCTCATGAATAAATCCATAAAATCTTTAAAAAAAATAAAAATAAAATAAAATTGCTACCCTTCCCCAGCATGCCAGGTCCCTGCTACCTGCTATAATTTTTCCATAGGAAGTACTGTCTTATGTTTTGATGTATTATATACTTTAGCTCTATGTTAACAAGATTGTTGATTTCCACCCACTAGGGCACAAGCCTCACCAAGGAAGGAATGTAAGTCTAGATCACGGATGCACATCCCAAGAGCCCAAAGTGCCTGACTCTGAGTTGCCTGTGGTTTAATAAATGTTTGTTGAATGACTGAATGTTCACTTGTTGGCTCGCTAAATGAGTGACATTGGTTTAAAGCTGCTCAAAGAGGCCAGTTGGAGGAGCAGCTGAGAGCCTCAGTGGAGCATGATGATGATGTGACAGGAGAGATGCCTACTGACAAGTGTCTCCATCAGACCCTGGTGGCGCCAGGGAAGACTGGGGCCAACTGCCTCTCACCAGCACCTCAAGCACCTACTGGAAACCAAGTCAGGGAACTTGGAAAGCATGGTGGCTTTTCTTGCCCCAGCTCTGCCCTCAAGCCAGGTCACCCTGAGCATGAAAGAAAGGCAGAGGCTAGAGAGGACCCCGACCAGGGCCAGCCAATGAGGGGCTGGGCCACAGAGCAGCACGGTGTGGGCCAGGCTGCCCAGCCAAGAGCACCAGCCACTGCCCATCTGTGCCCAGGCACCCTCGCCTCTTCTCACCCGGCCAAGGGCGCCACAACAGGAAGCACCCCCTCCCCTAGGGATGGCTCCTCTCCTGAGCTGGGCAAAATGGCTGCTCTAGAGCTTTGGTGATCATGATGACAAAAATGCCAGTCCTCACCTAGACAGCTCAGTGTTACGTGAGCCAGGGGTCACTCTCTTGCTGATGAGAAAATACAGAAGCTCAGACAGGTCAGGAGACCTAAGGTCAAAAGGCTGACCAGTGGCTGACCTGGAACAAGATGGGGCCTGTCTTGCCCTCTTGGCCATGGCTGTCTTCAGCGGCGCTGCACATCAGCTCCATGTCACCTCCCACAGCCCTTCCAGTGATGCTTCATACCCATACTGGGGATCATGGATGGGGTGGGACTGATAATATCCCTTGCTCCTTTCTTAGAGACCCTACCTGTACCCTTCTCCCCACAGCAATGAGGGTCCCAAGCACAAACCAAGAGGCAGCTCCTAATTTTTCACGAAGGCAACGGCAGGTTGCTGGTTTGTGCTTCAGCCTAACAGCACAGAAGCCAACGAGCGGTAACTGTGATGGAGAACACTCAGCCTTGCGCGCCAAGATGAGCCTGGGGGAGCTGGGCAGACCGGATGTGGTCGGAGGAGCACAGTTTGCGAGGAAGAGACCAAAAGCTAACTTCACGAGCAACAGCTAAAGAAGTGGGCTACACATTCGTTTTTAGGCTCAGCCGCTCCAGGGGCCAAGTTTCCTGAAGACCACCACTGTCCCACCCCAGCCTGGTTCTCAGCATACCTGGTAACAGGCAGGCAAGTGGAAACCATGAAAAGTGCTCCAGAACCCCAATTTAAACACCGTTCAAGGGTGTATGTCACGATCTACTTAAAGTTAGCTTCCCACCTCCTGCCCTCCTCTGAGCCAACCTTAGCGCTGCTACCTGAGTCATCCTTCCAGAACACAAAGCAGTGGCTTCAGTGGCTCTAAGAGGGCAGAATGAAACTCTTTAATATGAAGAGTGGGCTGACTTCCACCTTCCTCCTCCACATTCCCATAAATACTTTTATTCTCAAAGCAAGTTGCACCGGAATCTTCTTTCCGTTCGCACAAACCCTGTCTGCCTTCTTTTGCACAGGCCAGACCTTCCCAAAACCTTTGCCCTTCCCCTTCCGTATAACCCTTGACACTTGGTTCCTGAATCACCTCCTCTGTGAATCCTTTCCAGGCTTCTCCCCTCTGGGTTCCTATACACTTGCCCTTTGTATCCTCCAGAATTAATGGATGGTATCGAAAAGTAGGAGGTTCGCCATGTGGAATTGCCATTTCCTTAGGTCAAAAACAGCCAAATCCTGGCAATCTCCTATGGAAAATGTTGCTCACTTCTACACTAATGTGCTGTTTGTCACCAACTGGAGTAAGAGAACTGTGCCACCCTCCTTCCGTGTGTTGGCATCTGCCACACGGTGGCATATGGTGGGCGCCCAAGCAATGCTTGCTGCACGGACAGCACCGTTTGACAAGTTTTCGTGTGCCGCCTGTTCCACTCTGTTGCTTCCTCCAACACAGAAACCACCGAATCCAGGGCTGTTGTAAAGCATCTTACGCATTTTCATCGCGGCCAAAGCAAGCTCCAGATGTTTGTCTGCGCAGGTCAAGCAGAGCAGGAGAACGTCTCAGAACATGCAGGGAGTGGGGAAAGCTAATTGCTCAGGACGACTACCTTTCTGGCAGGAGAAACAGAGTCAACAGTCGATGGAGAGGAAGCAGCGGCTGGATCGGGAGACGGAAGGCAGGAGGGAGAAGCCGGAGGGTGAGTGAGAGACAGGCCTTTAGAAAGTAGTTTATTCTGCACAGAACAGAAACAGAGGAAACTGTGATTATCCCCGGGAAGTGCAGGCTGGAGCCTGCCTCCAGAGTGTAGCCCCAGGCCTACACATTCAGGGAAGGGGAAAGAAACCCAGGACGGACGGTGTCTCAGGACAAAAAAGAGAAGCCTCTGTCTTTGGAGCCCAGCAGGACGGTCTGGCTTCTGGAAATCCTGCATTCTGCTACAACTACCCCGGCTCCCTCGTCACACCAAAGTAGCTGGAGTGGATCCGTCCTGTTCCTGCGTACGTCTGCCACAGGATGGATACCAGAGCGAGCACCTGACGCTCTCACTCTGGAGCTTGGTATGAAGTAGCAGCTGGAACCTTAGGAAAGGAGAACCCTGGGCCACGGTGGGGCAGATGGCCACAGCAGGGGCCTCTATGGCACCCTGGGACCCAGAAATGAACTAGATGCAAACCTCCTTCCCGTGGCAATGACTCTGCCCAGTTAGCAGAGGACACAGGTCTGGAGGAGACTGAGCGAAAGCAGCAGAGGAGTTTCGTTCTGGAGACCAGGCTGTCTGCAGGTGAGGGGGCACCTGACATGCACGGGCACTGGGGGGCCTCGTTATCAACCCTTCCCTCTCTTGCCAGGCACTCTCTCTCCTTTTCAGCAAGTTTCTAGGTAAGTACCTGGCCTGCGGAGGGCCGTGCTTCCCATTCTAAGGCAAAGCCATTCTTCTTGGCTGATGCTGCCTTTCGGAAACGCAGAGCACAGGTTACAGCCTATGCTTAGCTCATCATGCAGGATCTCCCTGGTCGGGGCCGTGGGGAGAGATCTCCAGGGTGCCTCAGAACATCATGCTTTCGCTTTAGGGAGCTGTGACGGGACTCCTGCCACTGACCAGCTTTCCTTCTTTGCGGTGGCTCTTAGGAAGCTCAGCGCCTACTCAGACCTGTCTGAGATCTAACAGCATACGTCTCTGCTCGTAACATTTTCCTTTGACCTGAGCCTACGTGATTATCTTGGTCTCCCCTTTGTCATGACTGATCTACGTATTTTTGCACCTGCTCGTTGGAGTCTTTTTTAGATGCCAGCCCAAATTCTAGAGTGACTCAGAAAGTCAATAGCCCCTCATGCCAGAAAAGGAGGAGGGAGGAGGAAATGAAGCTCCAGAGACCGACTTGTGGCCACTTGGCTAGACGGCCAACATCTGGGCTCCTGGGGGGCTCCGGGAGCCCCTTGTTTACCTGCGGGAAATCCCCGTGTCCAAACATGGAGGCAAGGTGAGCCGCCTTCTCCTTAATGTTCTTTTTGTGAAATTCCCTGTTGGCCAAGTTCTGAGCCCTCTTCTGCAGGCAAGGCGAGAGATGGGAAAGAAAGAGAGACAGTGACAGGGACTATGGTGCTGGCCTCCAGCAGAGTGGCAGGATGGGATGGGAGGCAAGGTGTGAAGAGCATGAGAAGGAACCCACCCTGGGCAGAGGAGACAGAGGAGGGAAGGAAGGCGCCCCAAACCCAGGCAGAGGCAGGGCAAAGAGCGGGGCTTTCACCTGGACAATCTTGTCCTCCACTTGCTGCAGCCGCCGCAGCACCCCGGAAAGGGCCAGCGCTCCCTGGCAGGTGGGAGGCAGGGCAGCAGTGTTTTCTGGCCCACCCAGCTGCAGGTCAGACTTGGCTCTGGCTCTCCAGGGCCTGCTCGGGCACTCGCCGCCAGCAGACACTTGCTTTAGCTCTCGGAGCACGTGCCCCGTCACAACCACGGAAGGGAACTGGGAGAGAAGGAAAATCAAGCTTCCTTCCCGACTGTGGCCCATTCATACACCCTCCTCCCCGGCCCCCACCACGAGCAATTCCCACGAGGACCAGGGACAAAGGGCACAGCCGGTGCCACTGTGAGTTACAGACCCAACTAACTGCAGGTACCGACTCTGCGCCACCTGACATCCTCATGAACCATCCATAGTCTCGGGCCTCACCCCAGACCCATCGGGTCAACACCTGTACAAGCCTGGTCTCGGTCCTAGCTGCACCCAGAAGTCACCTAGGGGACTTAGAAAAAGTCACCCAAGTTTGGACCCAGCCCCCAGAGAGTCCAGGTCAACTGGTCTGGGGCTGGGTACCAGACTGTGATATTTTTGAAAGAGCTCGCTAGGTGATTCTTAAGCACACGAGCATAAAATCTCTGCAACATTTCCTCACTGAGTTCACTCAACTCCACCACCTGGGAGCGACACAATGTTCCAATTGCTGGCTAGACATTTCTGAATACCACGCTCAATAATAGTGACTCAGTTCAAACTCCAAACCCAGAGATGCTAGCTGGAAAAAAGCCTTGGTGTGTGGCTGCCAGCTGCCTCCCAGGCCCCGGGCAGGTCCTCATCTGCTTGGGCACCAGGGAGGTCCTTCACCACATGCCAGCCTTACCCCTTCAGTTGACCCCCTGCGCTCATTCCACCGCCCCTGTCACTTATCCACCTAGTTAGAAATCTCCTACCCAAGTGCCTGCCAACAAAGCCAAGTGTCCCGGAGCATCGCACGAACACCCCATGTGGTGCAGCTTGTTTCCACCCAAGCAACAAGTCGGGCAGAGGGACACTCCTGACTGGCACCTATTTCAAGATGCTGCAGACTCAGTTACTCTTACCTATACGTTGGGTCTGCCTTCCCAGCGAATCTACAATCAGCCCTGCATGGGGTGCACAGAGAGCCATGGACCCCACCCCTCTGGATCAAAGTCCCCTCTGACTTCACCAAGACAGGGTCCACTGGAAGGAGCCCTACCTGCCTTTTCAGAGGAGGTGATGGGCCGGGTGTGGGCTCCTCCGGCCTGGGGCAGCGAGAGTTAACAGGTGGGTCAGAGGAAATGCGCAGGACAGGCTTACCTATCCCTGAGACACGGCATTCCTGGGAGGAGGAAGGTGAGTCCCCAAAAGCAGCCGCAGGAAACATGAAGGAAAAGGTGAGTCAGACTGAGACACTTGGAGGGAGGAGAGCAGGAGAGGTGGGCAGAGAGTTTGCAAGAACAGAGAGAATCCTGGGCTGAGCTCCTGCAAGCCGGGCCCAGCTGGGAAACTTGAACCCCTGTTTCTCTGTCCGTGTGAACAGCAAGTCCTGGAGTCCCCTTCTCTTGGACAACGTGTAAATCCCAGGGAGGCCTCGCTTTTGGCTCAGACCTGGGGCGCTGGGCCAGAGCCTATGCCAAGCCAAGGTGGCCAGCCCTGGAGTCCTTCTGGAAATGGCAGTTTCCTGCACGCGAGATGACGGGGATGCTACGTTCCTTCTGATGGCAGAGAACCCTCACTGACGCTTGGGGACTTCGAAGGGGCAAGTGAGGAAAAAAATTATTATAAGTCTCAGGAAAATGGCCCCCCTGATAAAAAAAAAAAACAAAAAAAAAAACAAAACTTGGCTTCCTGGGGAAGGTGTGTTTGTCCAGGAGGGACATGGTCCACCAGGTAGACATTTAGGATTGCCTGTTTTCTGTCCTCCTCCTGAGAGGAGCCTGATTCTGACTTAGGAGAGGTGTTCTCGGGATCCCTGGGTGGTGCAGCGGTTTGGCGCCTGCCTTTGGCCCAGGGCGCGATCCTGGAGACCCGGGATCGAATCCCACATCGGGCTCCCGGTGCATGGAGCCTGCTTCTCCCTCTGCCTGTGTCTCTGCCTCTCTCTCTCTCTCTCTCTCTCTCTCTCTCTCTCTCTCTCTCTCTCTCTCTGTGTGTGTGTGACTATCATAAATAAATAAATTAAAAAAAAAGGAGAGGTGTTCTCCAAAAAAGAACCAAACCCCTTGTCCCAAGCTTTTGTCATTTGACAGCGGCATCCCAAAAGAATTCAGGGGAGCAAAATGAACCATGCAGTGTAGACCATGGAGTCAAGAGTCTGAGAGCAATCAGCTTGGTGTGCAGCCTGCCCCACGGCATTCTGCTTCCCTCAGCCTCCCAGCCACCCCGGTCAGACACAGCGGCCCCCACCAGCCTGACCCAAGGGAACACGGAGGAGGAGACATCAGAGAACACTTGGGGGGTTGGTCCCCACGGAGCTGAGACCCGTGACTCGGTTTCCCCTGGTTTGCACAGGGCTTCTCACTTTGGACTTAGACTCCTAGGCAGCCAGTGTCTCTCAAGCTCCCTTACGCTGTACCATCTCAAGGATGGCCGCAAATCAAGTCGTGGTTACAAGGTAAAACCAAATTCCGGATTTCTTCTCCAGTGCAGAACAGGCATCAGCAAACTACGGTCCTCGGGCCAAAGCTGGCCTGCTGCCTGTTTTTGTACATTAAGTTTCGTTGGCACACAGCTACACAATTTGTTTAAGTCCTGTCCACGGCTGCCTTCCTGCTACAACGGCAGAGATGAAGTAGTTGTAAGAGAGACAGGATGGCTCCCGAAGCCTCAAATATTTGCTCTCGCCTCAATTTGCTATCTGGTCCTTCCTGGAGAAGTCTGCTGACTCGATCTAGAAGGAGCCCCAGCCTCACCTGAGCCAGGCCTGGCTGGCATACCTGAAATCCACCACTAGCCTGAACGTTTCTGCTGGCTTCTCAGCAGGTTCTGGTCACCTGGAAGGCAGGTCCAGTGAGCATCTGACAGGACTCACCTGCTTCAGGAGTGAGGGGTTCCGAGAGTTCTCCTCAAACTTGGCCAGCAGCTGACTTGCCATGGACTTGACTTTGTTCTGGCTCCCAGCTTCTTTACCGCTGCCATCCTCTGGACAGGAGCGCAGGCTCCGTCTGGGATAGGCTGAAGGCTGCAAAGGCCAAATGAACACTTTGGTTGTTGGATGCCGGGACCCAGATAGCAGGAAGGGACCTGGGGACTTAGGACACTGGACCAGTTTCCTGAAGAAGGATGCCAGGGCCTGAGGAAGTACGGCAGGACCAACAGGTGATGCCAACTGAGACGATGCTCACGTCTTCCCAAAGGACAGGCACACCTGCTTGGGAGCCAGACAGGGTTTGAAAATGGCCTCTTTCACCTCCCAGCCCATTGACCTTGGCAATTTACTTAATTTCCCTGAAGTTTCCTCATTTGTAAAAAGGGAACATAACCCACTGCATTTGGTTGTTGCAAAAGTCAAATATAATGATGAAGTGATCAGCAAAACAGTTTTCCAAACACACCATGTGGCTGCCAGAGGTGAAGAGTAGGGGGGGATGAGGGAAGTAAGGGCGGGGGCGTCAAGGCAAGGCACAGGCTTTGGGTTTCTTTCTCCTCTCTCCTCTGCGCCCCACTCCCAACCGCAACCAGTCCTGCTCTGCGGTCGCTATCTTAAAGAAACATCTTTCAATCTGGAAATAATTTTAGATTTACAGGAAAGTTACACAGCAGAGAGAGTTCCTGTACACCTTTCATCTAGATGCACCTAATGTTAGCATCTAGAATAATCGTGGTACTGTCATCAAAACTAAGACATTAACACCGGCTCGGTTCTATGAACTAAGCTTGAGACTTGGTTCGGACTACCTCAGTTTCCCACCCATGTCCTTTGGGTTCCAGGGCACCAGCCCAGGTCTCATATGGCATTTTGCCCCATCTCCCTCATCTGTAAGAGTTTCTCCATCTTTCTTTGCCTTTCATGACTTGGACAATTTTGAAGGAAGGCTCGTCAGGTATTTTGTACAGAGCCTCGCAGGCTGGGTCGGTACTGATGTTTTCTCATGATCAGACTGGGGTTACGGGTTGTGGAGAAGATGCTACAAAGCAGAGACGTGCCTGGGCATGTGATATCAATGTGACTGTTGACTGGTGAGATGCTGGCTGTCATCAACTGGTTGTGCTGTTTTTACAAAATGGAGTTCTATGTAAGACTTCTTTAGCTCATCTGCTAAAAAACAAAACTTGGGGAATTACCGGTGTTCACTGAATGTCTGCTCTCCTTACCAAAGGACCTGTTCCCATAGGCCCGAGGAGCAATGCCACCATCCTATCGGTGGGCACTATGCTTTCTCAAGGAGGCCATGAATCTTTCTCATAGGAACAGATGTTCTCAAGGCAACTAAGATGTGTTCACTCAGAAGTGTCATGGGAAGAGGCAAGCTAAGGTCAATTGATTTTTTTTTTAAGATTCCCTAAGAGGAGTAGCCCCAGGGGAAGCCTTGTATGCACAGCCGCTCTGAAGTGTTGGACAAACACAGACCAGAGAGTCACTCTCCACTTCAAAGTGCGGAACGCTACTGCATATCAATGTAGGCTGGAGTGGAAGAGGCTAAGTTCACTGGAGTGGTCCCTGTTTGCACAAGGACAGAGTCAGCCAGGACCCGGGCCCTGGGTGGGTCTCTAAGACGAGCGCTTCTCAGATGTTAATGTGCATACAAATCACTCTGGGTCTCTTTCAAATGCAGATTCAGATCAGTCAAGGGCGGGCCCTGACAATGCATTTCTAACCAAGGGCTGGCTGACGTTCACCGGCTGACGCTCACGCTGCGGGTGCCTGGCTCCCAACATGGAGTAGCAAGAATTTGGAAAGAATAATTGCTTAGTTAAATCTGACTTTAGAAAAACAGCTGGCTCAGATCAGCCCAGAAACATCTCAGAAGGGGCAGGTGGAACCGATTTCTTCCCGCACTCTGACTCCTGTGCAGCCATCAACAGAAAGAGGACACACACTCTCAGATAAGCCGCGGACAGCGGGGTGGCTCAGTCCCTTAAGCATCTGCTCAGGGTGTGATCCCAGGGTCCTGGGATGGAGCCCCACATTGGGGCTTCTCCCTCTCCCTCTGCTACTCCCCCTGCTTGTGCTCTCTCTTTCTGAAATAAATAAAATTTTTTTTTAAAAAGCCACAGATGAAAGGCAGGAGCAGACTTCCACCTGAGACATCGTGCATCACAGGGACTCTCCTAGGGAGGAGGAAGAGGCAAATCACAGGCATTTAAAGTGAGAGCCAGGACACTGGGAGATCTCCCCCACCCTGGTCATCAGCCTCTGCTTCCTCCTTTCAACTACCTCCCTACTCACTGCCACCTTGCTCACACTAGCACCAAGAGAAGGAGAGGCGACAGCTCTTGAGATCAAAGAGGTTCTAGAAAAGGTTTGGACAAAGGTGATTTGAACTCATTGGATAAAATGTGTTTGGGCGCATTTTTGGACGTGCACTGAAGTCCAGGGTTCGGTTATCAGAGCGCCCCGTTGCCCCTTCCAGAAAATGGGGTAAGTAACAGGCAGCTTCCCCTCCACCCAGGATGGGCCTTGTAGCTCTCTCTGTTATAAAGGTCACAGTTTTGAGAACCAGAGTCTGTAGGGACGTGGGTGCTTCACTTTGACCAAGTAGCCTGTATTTTTCGGCTTTCACCAGAAGGTGGCACTTGTGGGCACCGGGACCTGTGCCTTCGAGACGGCAAGGGCCGGAAACTAGGTGGAAAGTAGGCCTGGGAGCCTGGGGCGACTGCTGGTGCCTGGTTACTCCTCGCTGTTGACGGCGACGCTTGATTAGCACAGGTGCCCGAGAGCACGCTCGGCTCAGTATACACGTCCCCTTAGTTAATCTTTAAAAATCCTGCCAGAAGTTGCAAACATTTCAAATGCATCGTCTCCTCACACAGCCGAGGGCCGGCCAGCCCCGGAGGCGGCGTTTCTCCAGGTGCCTGCTAGGAAGCAGCGGATGGACGGAGGCCCAGAGCCCGACGGTTTCTCCATCAAGCCAGGCCCGGAGCCGAGTGGCTCTCGGGAGGGGAAGGGGACGGGCCAGCGTGTGGCCACTGGCCGGCAGGCAAGCAGCCCTCGCTCACACTGACGCCGCGTGCACGCACCTCGTCCAGGTTGTTGAAGCCTTTCCGCCTCCGTTTGTTCATGTCGTTGTCTTCAGTCTGGGTGTCCACCTGCAGCGGCCAAGAAAGCGTGGTGAGCTCAGGGCCAGCGAGGGGTGGGGTCCCACCGACAGCCCTGAGGCCACAGGGCTGGCCGGGCCGATGCCACCCTGCCTGCAGCCAGCTGCCAGCCCGGGAGACAGATGGACATAAATCAGCCCGCAGCCTGGCAATGCGATCACCCCGAACCTAGGGCGAGGGGTGGGGGCGGCGGCGGGGTTCTATCAGAAGGGGTAGGAATCACATCCCCAAAGATCATTCTGAAACATCCCAAAGCACAGAGAGTCCCGTGACACGGGCAGGGCAGGGGCTGTCTCTGTGGTCGACGTGACCCCGGGCTCAGAGCATCAGAGCCAGGCCTGCTGATGCCCCTCAGCATGCTGCCGTAAGGAGACCACTCCACAGGCGGGGATTCCTGGGGCTCACGTCAGCTGTCGAGGGGGTTGATGGCAAATTACATCTGCCATTGGGTCACTGTTGCAAATGCCAGTAAATGATATCTTATCAGCTTTAAGGGAGCATCAGATATGGTCTGAAAACTATGGCGGCCATCCAGCTGTGTTGGTCCAGGACCATTTTGATTTATCGTTTCCCCAGCAGAATTATTTATAGCTTGGTTTCATTTCTCCCCTGGCACAGTACTTCCCTTTTGCTATTACATAAATCTTAGCCTTCACGATGGTGTATACGGTGGTGCAGAGTTTTGAACCCACATTTCCCAACCAACTTTGGGTTATCTATTGGCAGATATGTGACAATATGCCAAGTGCAAACAACAGGGTGGAAGGTGTTCACAATGCAACATAAAGCTCAGTCACAAATATGCATCCTAGTGCTTGGAAATGGATCTCTCTCTCTCTCTCTCTCTCTCTCTCTTCCCCAGAGACAGAGTGGGGGAAGAGGAGCAGAGAGAGGGAGAGACAACCTTAAGCAGTCTCCACACCCAGCACCAAGCCCAACGTGGGGCTCAATCTCCACCCTAAGATCATGACCTGAGCTGAAATCAGGAGTCAGATGCTTAACTGACTGGGCCACCCCGGCACCCCTGGTACCACTCTTAATGAAGGAACAGTTTATTTATTTTTTTTTTTAGGAGCAAAGTTTAGTGAAAAAAGAAAGCGTGTGTGAGGTTGAACATGGAGATGAATCGATAAGCAAAAAATACATAATACTATGAACCAAAGACGACGGAGACAAGGGCACAGGTACAATCTGAAAAATGAAGCCAGTTGTTTGCACAGTGAGTGTTGCCGTGAACCCACACTACATATTCTGCATGTGTTCAAATCTTTTGTATTTCACAATAAAGACTTTTTAAATTTTGTTATTTGCTTTCCGTGTCTCATTGTGTCCTTCTTAATGAATGTCCATCTTTTGTTTCTCATGCTTTTCTCATTTACAGCAAAACTGCCTTACAGCCAAATAGTTCCAGAGCACAACTGCTTGCAGCAAAGATGCTTAGGGTGAGACTACCAGGACCCTAGCGCCACTGGTCCCCAGCTGGGGCCTTCTCCAAAAGCCAGCTCCCAGAGGGCCATGGAACTTCCCTCCACCCCCAAGCCTCCTCCACACTCAGGGCCCCCAGAGCAGGCCAGCTTACACCCCAGCCTTTGTTTCACTGACCATGCAGCAGGAAGGGGTGCTGGCCATTCTCCCCGCCTGGAGCCCAGCCCAATTAGCCCCACCCTCCTACCTTTGCTGTGCTGCAGGAAGGATCTTTTACCTTCTGCTTGTTCTGCAATTACTCGGAGCCCCTAGCACACACGACTGTGTACCCACTTGCTCTCAGCAGAAAGCACCTGCTTCCCCTGCGTCCGTATTCCCATCACCTCTGCCCTCTTCCCACATTAACCAGTATCTTTAATATTTTCAAAGAGAAGATTCATCACAGTTTAGTCATTGATATTTGTTCAAAAATTTGACCCTTCTCTTGTTCAGGCAAGCACAGAACAGATCAAAGGGCCCTGCCTTCCATTTAACATTTTTTCTCAGCTCCTAATAAATCATTATTCTGTGAATGGAAATGATTTCAACCCAAATGCTTGGGCAAACACCAAGAGAAACAGATGAAACAGATGACCTTATTCTCAACAATGTTGGGTCTTAGAGGCCCAGGCTGTCTGGGGTCCCAGCTCCACTGCCTGTGAATGGCTTGCTGGCTGAGACTGGGGCCGGAGAAAGTACAGGATGTCCTACCCAACAAGAACACTGCATGCATAATCTTAGGGTTTTCAGTTGGAGTTTTTTTGTGTGTGTGTGATTGTTGTTTCCACCTTAAATGAAGACTTGGCTTTTCTCTCAAAGAGCAACACATCCTACTCTCTCTTTTGCATTCAACAGCTCGGGGCTTGACTGTTCCAACATCAAAGCCTGTGTAGATCCAAACCCAGTATGTTAGCCACAGGCTCACTCGAAGTGCTCCTGGGATGGAGTGTGCCGAGGAGCAGCACCTGAGAAGACCCCAGATCCTTCAGGGGAAATCAAAGAAGTGGGTGGGGCGACCTCCACACCTCTGACTCAGGCTGATCCATGGGACAATAAAAATGCCGTCTATATGAAAGGTTAGCAACATACATACCCAAACGGTCTCTACTCTTCCTTACGGATTTATCCTGGAAGCACGGATTCTCAACTAAAAAGTCAGGTTAAAACAGAAAAGTGGAGAAACTCAAACTCAATTAGGGGTTTACCTAATTTTTTCTTATGTATATCTCTCTATCTGCAAGCCAACGTTGCCTTACTACCCCCCATCTCCTTAGACTTTATTTTGCTCTACAGAGAACGGAATACAAGAAGGAAGAAAATACCTATGGTGCCCAGCGAGAGAGAGAGAGAACATGAAAATACAGAAATAGCTCACTTTCTTTTACTATTAATTTTTTCCCATCTGTCCCCTAGGAACACGTTTTCATGATTTCCCAATGATCCGAAAGAGTCCATACACTAGAGGGCATTTATTAAATTAATTGGTGTCCCCATTTAAAAAAAAAAGAGATGTATTTGCTAATCTATTTATTTGATCAGTACAAGATAACCATGTCCTCATAAAGCTCGACTTTGGGTGACTTTAGCCCAAAGGAAACCACCTTTATATTTAACTAGCTAACGTAGCCTAACCCTGGAGAAATTTAGATCTGGGGCATAGGAGGAGAGATGAGCCATTGCAGGCAATGGCTTGGTTGAGGGGGGAGGCAGCAGTGATATTTAGAAAGATGGCCAGTGACGCTGGCGAGAGAACTCTTCTCTTCTTCGGTAACAGAGTAGTAGTAAGGAGTTATGAGTTCAAGTTCTGACGTGACTTACTTCCCAGCTGTGTGACCTTAGGAAAATCACCTAACTTCTCTGATTTCAGCTTCCTTATCTCTTATTTCCTCACCTAGATATACCACCCAGCTCTTATTGTAAGGATTAATGAAGTCATGCGCATAAAACACTTCTTGTAAGGTGCTATATAGATGTTAGGCACCGTTACTTAGGTTAACGCTAGTTAATAGAATTAGGAACTGCAAATTCTAGTTCGGACTTTGACTTTTACCACCTATAAGACATCGTGATTTAATCTCCCCACAGCCAAGATTCCCTTTCTCTAAAACTGGGATGAGAATACACGCCCAGGCTTCCTCAAAAGCGAACACAAGGAGCACACAATGAGCTATACGTGAGATTGCTTTGTACACTGTTAAGGTGGGACACTGGCCATGGTTGTAGTGCAGAACCAAGCGTTCTATCCCATTACTTTGACTCATTTTCTCTGAAAAGAGGCATCTTCGTTGAATCGGTACTCCTAAAGGGACAGGAGCACTCATCTGAGGAGCCCTTCCCACATGGCCGGGCAGGTGCTCCGACCTGCAGCACACATCTGTTCATGCTGTCTTTTTGGCAATGCAGTGCAATGCAGTGTTGATGCGACTGCAATCATTTTGCAGACAAGCAAAGGGACCTTCTGAGAGGTTCAAGCATGTGCCAAATCCCCAGCAGATCTAAATGTACATTTGTCCGCCCGGCTTCTAATGTACTCCCCTTCAGAATACCCTGCTGTGTTGCACAGAGGACAGGAGAGAGATCAGCCTGCAAATCACAGGGGCCAGTGGGGCAGCTCGAAAGCCCTCTGCTAGCTCAGATGGGCAGTATTGGGACATGTGCTCTTGACTCTCCAGGGCTTTCTTCACATCTCTGAATTGAGAAGTGCTAGAAACCTAGTGGGGAGCTCTGGCTGCTGGGTGGGGATTCTGTGAGAGCAGCTGGGGAAGGGGACAGGAATTCAGACGATCCCTGTAGAGCAGCCTTTTCAGGCAAGGTCCTTGCTTGTCTTGTTCTCTGCTCTCCCCCCAGTACCGAGAGGAGAACCTGGCATCAAATAGGCACTGGGTCAATCAGGAAGGAGGAGACACCTCCTTACTTCATGCACCTGGCTGCTTTGGAAAGTGTTTGTGTGGGAGGGGTGAGGAGAGGAGAGCTGGGCAGGGCACCCTAACTGCTGAGACTAGACACCCACAAGAGCCATGCTCTGAACTCTGCTGTCCCAGGACAAGTGCTGGAGGGGAAGCTGTGTCACAATCAGCCAGCTGAGAGGATAGATACCCTGGGGCCACCAACCTGGCTTCTGGGATGGGCTTTTCATGGACAAGTACCATCTTCGTGTTGTGTTGTCCTTGAAGGAGTGGGCTCAGAATGGGGGAAACAAAGACCAGGTGCCCTGAGTCTATATGTAACGTCATGTGGTCAATGACTGAAGTGGCCATAAATCCAGGCATTACCTCTATGTCATAGGTCTAGGAGAGCACACACACAGGAGGACAGAGACCATGCATGTTCACATATCATGACGAGAGATCTGGAGTCCCCAACCATTTTTGTATGTCACAGGGTTTTTGTGCTGATGCTTTCAAGATCAGAGGCAGATCTTCAGAAGCAGACTGAGGGCTTTTAAAGAGGGAAATATAATCTCAAAGCTCTTTGCCTTTGCCCAGGCATGAGCTCTCAGTTTTCAGAGCTACTCAGTCAACTCAACAGTTTACCACTCACCCAAGGGACAACTCTCTTGGCAGATTGATAGAAAAGTTACCTTCTCTAAAAGGAAACAAGGTCCTTGCTGGTGGAAAAGTCTTTTATGTTGCCTGAAGGTGATCAGTTTTGGTTGGGATCTGGATGCTCTCGGGGATGAGGGATGAGCCAACAATTTAACATCAACAGGGAAAACCAGGGGAGGGAGAGATTTTTAAGACTGGCCCGGCAGAGAAGAATGGACCCTCTCCAGGCTAAGGTGCCACGCTGTGAACAAACACAGGCTTCTTGGTTCCCCCACCAAGACGCGCCTCTGAAAGTTAGAGAGAGCTGGGGAATGGGGGGTGAGGTTGATGCAGATGCATCTGCGTATACAGATAGTGTGTGCACGCTACGGTGTAGTCACACGAGCACAGCCTAGCCTGCATCTCCAGTCCATCGGGGTACACGAGCTAGGGTGCTGAGGGCCACATGCCCGACTGCACTGCTACCTTTTGGGTATAACTATGGCGGAGCCTCTGTGTGTGTGGTTTTCAGAGTGTCCTGTCCAGACATCATCCATGCCCATCCTGGGAGAAACTGGAGTGCTGAGAAATGTCACAACCAAAGAGCATGGCAAATGGGCTCCCCAAATCAAAACGTATCCAGATACAGGAAGACATGTGGTCGATGGGGAGGAGGCCTTTGTGTGTGGCCCGATCACTGCGCTAACATTGACCAGCGGACAGTGTCTGGGGCATTTCAGTGATGACGAAGACAGAATGTGACCCAGTGGGCTTACTGACTCGCCAACCTGCCCAGAGGAAGCAATCAGTCTGAGAAGAAAGAGGACAAGTAATGTCCATGGCAAACACTTCAATGACCTAGTCTTTCTACCTATCCAAACAGCAGGGTAAATCCTAGACATAAATGGAACTGTGGGAGGGACTGGACCCCTCTGCCGATGGGCAGCCCGTGGGCACAGCCCGGAGAGCGACTGGACATGGTTCAAACTCGGCCAGGCCCAGGCCCAGCAGAGCCTACCCACCCCCCTCCTGCATCTTCTGGCAGAGCCAGTGGAAGTGGAGCGAGGACCCAGCAGCCCTCGGAGGGGGCCCGGCTGTGCTTGCTGACCAGTCCCACGACGAGACCCAGAGCTGGCCAGACTGCTACAACTCCCTCACTCTGTACGCAGAGGTGTGGTGAGTGAAAGGTTGAAACAATCCTCTCCAGGTCCCCCTGCTGTTCCCAGTGGTGGGCTAAGCGGTGGGAGAAAGCAGGTGGACAGAGAAAGGCGTTGAATGTCTTTGTCAGACAGGTTCCAGGAAGGCTGCACTGGCTTGCTCGGATGGGGAAGCCCGAAGCGGGGATCCTTAGAGGAACAACAGCTGGGCTGGGGTGGACCAAGCCTATGATTAGTCTCCGGAAGACGACTTCCACTCAGTGGGCTGTGTGGTGGGCCACGCAGCCCTCACACAGAGCCTCTGAACGGGGCAGCTCAGGGAAGCAGAGAGGGGACAGAGCAGCTCTGCTGAAAAGCCCAGCGGACCTGCACACCTGCCCTCCCCAGCCCTGGCCTTGCTGGCTCATCCCTTCCTAGAGACAGGGTGTGGAAGAGCATTCCATGCCCACACCTGGAGCTAGCCCAGAGCTGCAATGTTCCAGGGAGCACAGACCTCAGCGGAAAAAGTGACCACTGGCTCACACAGCCCAAAGAAAGGAGGCTACGTGGCCCCAGCCCCACCCTGGGCGGAGGGGCTGGCAGGACCAGGCATGACTGACCACAAGTAGGAGATTGTGGTAGCCTAGGGAATCTGAGACACACACCCTCTGCGGCCCTGCCGCCCTGGGGAGGGAGGCAAGTTTTTTTTGTTTTTGTTTTTTAAAGATTTTTATTTATTCATGAGAGAGACACACACAGAGAGAGGCAGAGACACAGGCAGAGGGAAAATCAGGCTCCATGAAGGAAACCCAATGGGGGACTCGATCCTGGGACTCTGGGATCACACCCTGGGCCAAAGGCAGACGTTCAACCGCTGAGCCACCCAGACATCCCGGGAGGCAAGTTTTATATGAGAACTTGACACCTAACATCTCAGGGTCTTCAGTTTTTGACCTACAGCATGAGCACATTAAGCAAGATACCTTGTCTCACACCTACCACAGACATGCCGTCATTCAAGTAAAATTATAATGGCTCATTAGCCTCACAGTTCCCAAACTGTGTTCCAAGGCACCCCCATGGCCCCATGGGGAGCTTGCAGAAGAGCCGTAGTCTACTTTGACTTTTCTAGGGACACATGGCATAAATCTGTCATACACCTTGTAAAATGCCCCTACCAAGTTATTTGGACTTAACTACTTTGTGAACAGAACTTGTAGGTATTTGGATCTGGGGCACTGTGATAAAAATCAACGGAGACACCAAGGGTGGTATACGTCAGGAAAGTTTGGGAACCTCTTTAGGCTCTGAGCTCCTCAAAGGCATACCTTATTCATCTCTGTGTATTTGCAAGTCTTGTCAAGAGCAAACAAAAAAAAATGGGTGGTTGGGTGGCCCAGTTGGTTAAGCAACTGACTCTTGATTTTGGCTCAGGTCATGATCTCAGGGTGGTGAGATCAAGTCCCACATCAGTCTCTGAGCTCAGCATGGAGCCTGCTTGGGATTCTCTCTCTCTCTCTCTCTCTCTCTCTCTCTCTCTCTCTCTCTCTCTCTCCCCCTTCTGACTCTCCTCCCTTGCCTTTTCTCTTAAATTTTTTTTTTTAAAAGAAACAAAAGAATTCAGTCCTAATGTTGCCAAACAGTAGGGCCCAATAAACATTTGTTGAATGAGTGAAGGGGGGAAATTAATGGAACAGAACATAGAAACGTCGCATCACCATACACCTCCGCCACTCACGGCCGTGGTGTAACTGACCTACTTTAAAAAGCACTCAGCTCCATGACCTCTCAGCTCTGTGCCATGCCCTTCCTATAACCACGTTCACGTCACTGAAGCTGGCTATATGGCGCCGGCGGGGGCGGGGGGGGGTGATGCTTCCAACATCCTTGTGTCACTGAACTGGGCTTGACTCACGTCTTCCATGAGCTGTACAATTTATCAGCATTAACAGACCAAGACCACGACATTTTCCCATTCCCCTGGCCTCGTCCACAGGCAGAGAGAAATCAAACAAAAACCAGGCCGGAACTTACTCGTGGAGTCCTCTTTCTTGGAAATGTGAGGTTGAGATAGTTATGAGAAATGGAGGATTTGACCAAGCCAAGGTCAGCGTTTTCTCCATAGTTTTTGCCCCAAGAATCTGTTAGGAAATAAAAATATGACAGAGCTCAGATCCTGCCCCCACTAGCCCAGGACTCAGGCGGTGCCATTGTTACGAGGTCCCTCTGAATGATTCCCACACCCTCGACTGAAGATCCGCATGGACTGGGAAGGGGGCTGATGCAGCTCTATCAGTGACCTCCCAGAGTCCCAGGGGCAGCCCTGCAGCCTCTTGCAGCACCTGCCACACACCAGCTTAGACACACAGGTCTGGGGATGGGGTCCACCCAGGTTTGGCCTCCAAGCGAGGGGGAAGGCAGGGGCCAGCCTCAGAACAGTGTGGAGAGCCACTGGACACAGGTGCAGGGCGGAGATGGCCCAAGGGCCCAGCGGAGCCCATCCCGAAGCAGGGCCTTACCCACAGGCCTCAACGGGGTGCCCCGGAAGAGCTCGTAGAACTTGGAGAGATACATGACCATGCTGAGCTTGTCGGGCTCCTGGGCTGACGCCATCTCCTTGCCCGTGGTCACCGGGGGGATGCCGAACTCACGCTCGGCCACGTCAAAGGCCAGCTGGTTGTTCTCCACAGCGTCATCTTCGTTCAGAGAGTCAAAGTTGCTGGAGAATCAAAACAAGGTAAAGTTCAGGGACAGGAGACAGAGGTATGAGGAGCTGAAGAAACGTACCTATAAGGAGCACTAACGGGTGACACTCTGCTGGGTCTCGGCAGGCTGGGGGAGTCGGGGGGAGCCGTGGGCCCAGCCCCTGCCCCCAAGCACCCCAGCCCCCTGCTGCCCTCCCCACCCCACTCCTGCCCAGGGAGGCTCCTCCTCACTTGGGGTGGGGACCAGATCAGAGTTAGGCCATGACAATGCCACTGCTGCCTGGGCTGAAACAATTGGAAAATAACTACTACGTCTTTGGAAAACTTATCAGCTACTTTATTTTTAAATAATTCCCTTATGTGCTTGTGCTCTTAACTATAAAAAGTATATGGATATTTTAAAAAAAGAAAAAAAAAGGAAAGAAAGAATCAAGGGACATATAACATATAAAGTAACAAGTGAGCGCCCCACCCCTTCTTGAGGCAGCCTTGCTTCCTAAAAGTACCAACAGTTAGCCCCCCGGTAGGTTTCCTTCCAGCCTTCTGGAAGAATGTACTCGTGGGTGTGCAGCGACTCTGCAGTTGATGTGAATCCAACAGTAATAGACGTATTGGGCCTTCATATCGCAAAGCGTGTCGCATCTTCTTACCAGTGTTGCCATCGTTCCCAATTTACAGATGAAGAAACAGACTAAGAGAAGGTAAGTGACCTGCCCAGGGCCACAGGGCTAAGTGGCCTGCATCTCAGATCTAACTCTTCTGTCTGCAAAAACCTCGAACCGGTCCCCAGAATTAGGTCTTGCCCTTAATTTCTCTCTTGTGGGGAGACTGCCGAGGTGTGCACACTCCATCTCCCAGCATGATGACAGAGGGGACGCGGGGACAAGCGTAAGCACACGGCCTGAGCTGCTTCTGCTCCCCGCGTGTTAGGAACACAAGGCAATCAAGCTGCTGACAGAGAACTCCGTGCAAACGGCAAAGAACAAACTTAAGAAAAACTCAAAGATCTATTTTGAGCCAAGATTCTGCATTCAGCGGAACGTCCCTGGTTGCCCTTGTCTCCAGGGTCCCCTTGGGCCCCGAAGGGCTCAGCAGGTGCAGCCTGAGCCCCCAACTCACATCAGCTCAGGCCGGAAGCGGTGGATGATGGCACACAGGGCCAGGCCGCTGCGCCAGGATGTGGTCAGGTCGGTGACGTTGACATGCTGGTAGCCCTCGGTCTGCTGCTGGCACCAGGTTAAGAGCTTGCTGGGCCGGATGTCTAACTCTGTGGCAAGGGGAGACAGACAGTGCTGGAGCGCCCTGGGAAAGCTCTGCAGCTTCCCTGGGGACCAGGAGGAGCAGCACAGATGTCAAGAGCATGGCAGGAGGGCAGGATGCTGGGACAGGATGCATGTTCCCCTGCAGCAGAGCCCCCAAGACACCCTCTGGCCAGACAAGCACAGAGGTGAGACCGTGCGGACCCTGCCAACATCCCATCTGGTGGGGCCGGCAGACACGGTGGCAGGTGGCGCTGTGACAGCAGAGAAGTGGGTACCAGGGGAGCACGGGAGCAGCTCTGCCCCTGGCCTGCAGGGCAGGGGGACTCGCCAGAGAGAGAGTCCTGGAGGAGGCACATCCCAGCTGCTCCTTGAGGAGTGTAGAGTGAGGCGTTGCAAGAAAACAGAAAAGGGCCGTGCCGTGGGAAGAATCTAGAACGGCCTGCCAGGCTGTGTACAATGGTTTATTGGTTCATTATAGGGGCACGTGGTGTGAAGGGAAGGGAGGGGAGGCTGGTGAGGCTGTGTGTGCCCAGTGGCGGGGAGGGCGCAGGGTCTGGGCAGGCAACAGACACCAGAGGTCCTTCAGCAGGATGGTGACCCGAGCGAGGCCCGGTCGACGGGGTGGGGGTGGAGGGGGTTACTCAGGTAACCATCCCTTCCCTCCTCTAGGAGAAGAGTGCAGCACGTGGGGCCTGCCATCTAGCTGGGGAGGCGAGAGCTCCAGGCTGGCGGCAGCAGGGAAAGAAAAGCGAGGCTCAGGGAAGTAATGGCAGTTCCCTAGGATGTCCTCAGTGCTCGACACGTATTCACGCCTTTCCAACCAACCTGTGGTTGGTGTTGCCCTTGTCCCAGCTGTACGGATTTTTCCTCAAACTGAGGGATTGAGGAGAGGGACCTTGCCTGGCCAAGGTCACACAGGTCAGAGCAGTAGAGCCCAGTGGGCTGCAGGGCCCGTGCCCCCACGGCCACCCCGCAGGCCTCCCCCCAGCAAAGCGTCCCCCCGACCCCTGACCCGGGGCAGCAGCTTACCCCTCCTGGAGAGGCTCATGGATCTCCTCACCGAGCCCAGCCTCTCGAGAGGGCACTGGTGCAGCTCCTTAGTGATGTACAAATGCTTCACCTGCGAGCAAAAGCGACCACACAGCTGCCCACCAGTGTTTCCCCGAAGCCGGTCCAGCTTCTACTCCCCATCCACCACCCATTTCCCCTATGCCTGGAGGGCATGCTTTTCAGCCGGGGACCCCAGGGGACTGCAGCTGTCCACCCAAATGTCGGGGAACTCAAGTGCGAACATCCGTAATCGGCTGATTTTGAAAGCATCCCACCATTCGTTGTGCTGTTGCCAGAAGAAGTTGGCAGCTGTGGATTCCTGAGTCAATGGGAAGAGGAGGGACTCCAGGACTGTGAACTGAAAAGACCCGATGGTTGGCCGAGCAGACCATTTGAAATGGACACGTGACACCGACACACGGTGACAATAAACATGTCAGCGTGTGTGCAGATGTGGACAGACACTGCACGTGTTCTAGTTCTTTCCTGTGGGCTAGAGAGACACTGTCTTGCGGTTCTCCCAGGGAGAGGGATTGGGCCCACTTCCGAGCCAGGAGCCACTGGTGGCCTCAGCCCCGGGGAAGCTGCAAGGTTTTACGCGTGACGTGCTGCCCACCGCTTGGTGCAGCATGGTCCAGACGGGGCCCAGGGAAGGACGTACCTGATGGGGCCTGACACAGTTGGAGTTGAGATTTGGGTACCGTGTCCCTGGGTCCAGTGTGTACTGCTCAAAGTTCTTGTTGATGTTCTCCGGGGTGGTCTGAGGTAACAGCCGGTAAAGACTCTCCCTAGGAGGAGGCCGAGCCCAGGGGTCAGGGATTGCTCTGGCAGCCTCAGGCCTTCATTGCTTGCACCCCTTCCCCTGCTCTTGATGGCTTTGCTTTGGCTGTGTTTGTACACCTCTTCCCTGAAAAACCTGGCCCCCTTGGTTCCTGAGACCCACGACATGGGGAATAGCCAAAAGGCTGGGAGGGCGTCCAAAGGCAGTGATGCTGGCCTCCTGTCCCCAAGCAGAGGGCAGGGACCAGAACGGGCAGCAGAGGGACGTGTGGTTTTGCTATAACCACCACTCAGCCACGCTGCCTCCTGTGACCTGTCCCCTGTGACCACAGGCCTCCACACCCAAGACCAGCAGAGGCCTGTCCCACCTGCCGGTCGTGACTTCTCCCAGTCGGCCAGCTGTTACAGCCACGTGGCCAGCAGCAGGGGTCCGGGAGGAAGCCCTGGATCTCAGCAACAGCCAGAGAGGCCTGACAGGTCAGAAGCCCAGCCTCCGCAGGAAGGGACACTTTGCGCTGCAGTGGAGGCTTCCCCTCAACTGCTTCTGGCTCACAGTGCCCAGGCAGTGCTGGGAACCCTAACTTCAGGACCACTCCAGATCTAGATTTTTCTTTTGCATTCAGGTCCTAAGGGCCTGGCCCCCAGAGAAGACCCTGGAGGAGGTAAAACATAACAGAGAGTGTTTCCTTGGCGATCCTGATTATCAACTCAGGCCACACCTGGGAAGGAAACGAAAGAGGACAAAGGCTCCAAGTTCATCCAGGAGCCACCTGATGGCCAGCCCTGCTCCCTTTCCTGTCTGAGCTCTGGAACCAGCCATGCCCCCAGCTGGAAGCCCCGCTGTCAATACTCACCTTTCAGCAAGCAGCTCCAGGGGAGGGGTGCCCTGGTCCCAGCTTTTCACCATCCATGCTGTGTCAAAGGCTGCCAGGAAGCCTCGGGCACAGCCTGTGCCCATAGGCCAAAAGGGCTGGAGAAGAAAACATGCAAAACTCTGGTTGGTGCTAAAGATCCCCCCATCCCCCCAACACACACACACCTCCTGCTATCCCATTCTATCCAGCACTCAGTGTCTGCTAAGCCTGTGCAAGGCACTGGAGGGAGTGTGGGGTGACAGGGCAGCTCCGTAGGATGCACCACAAACGCATTTAGCTATGGCACAAAGTCCCACGTAGAGGGTGCTATGGCATAGGGACAGAGCAACTGCCCTGAGGCTCACAGGAGGCAAGGCAAATGTCCACCCTGGAGAGGGAGATGGAAATCCGGGGAACGGGGAAACGGGGAACAAAAGAGTTGCATTTGTGCTCATTTTAAAGAATGGGTATGATTCTAATCTTAATCTGCTCAAGAACAGCGTGGGCAAAGGCGTGGCGGAGGAACGGAGGAGTGGGAGCGTCACGAGACAGAATGCTGCAAAGGGAGACGGGGACAGAGCGGGGGCAGATCACAGCCCACACACCGTGGCGAGCTGAGCTCTAACGGAAGCGTCCCATGGGCACCCAGAGCCTGGTTTGGAATTTGACTCTTATTTGGGATAAACATTTTCTGCTTAGTGCTTAAAGATAAAAATGTAACCCTTCTGAAAACACTCAATCTGAGGATCCTTGCATGAGCTGATTTCCCTGGGAAGCATTTTGAGCAGGGAGGCCATGGATGGAAACTGGGTTTTGGGGCCCACATGCCTTTTTGCATCCTCTACGATCCCCAGGCTGCAAGGCCTCCCCAAGTGAGGAAGGAGCTGTGGTCCAGCTGAGGGCGTCCGTGTTCTGAAGAGGACAGCCCGTGAGGTCCAGGGCAGGGCCGGCTAGTTTTGTACTTTGGCAAAGAGGCCAGCCCGAAGAGCCCAGAGGCGGGAGAGGAAAGCAGAACGAGCTCCCCTGGGCAGGCCAGGTGCAAGCCTGAGGCCAGGATGGGCTTGGCTGAGTCTGGGCCACCAGCAGGGAGCCTGTCCTTCCCCTGGCTGCATGACAGCAGATGCTTCGGGCCACACCATAAGTGCAGGGATCTGTCTCCTACCAGGAATGGGATGTAGGGGTGGGGTTGAGGGGCCCAAATGCAGGCGCTACCTCAAGCAAGCTGTCGCCCACCAGGGCCACGAGTAGCTGGTGTGACTGGCGCTCGCGCACCAGGGCCGCGTTCTCTGAGGCGTACATGGAGGTGAAGTCGAACATGGCCACATCGGGCTGCCCGTAATGGTTCATAGCAAAGTCCAACGATGGCAGCTGGTAATTGGTGGCGAAATCTGCAGCCTCGCGGGCGTAGGAAAGCAGGTTGTCCTGGTTCACATTCTCTGCACACAGCAGCATCTCTGTGTCGATGTAGTCCTGCGGGGAGAGCAAGAGCCCAGTGCAGCAATCTGCCTCTGTGAGGGGCAAGCGTTCATACCCGGCTCTTCGCAAAAGGACTCGGAAGGGGGCTGTACAACAAAGCCGATCCAAACAGAGTATCAGGTCCAAAGAGATCAAGAGGAGCCAAGCCGGCCGTCTGTAAGGGTTAACAGAGCTGCGGTTACACATCACACTTGGCTTTGAGCTTCCTGGCATCCAAGGCAAAAGGGAAATGTGATACATGGCAGGGCTTTCCTGATCAGAAAGAAGGAAGCATAGAAATTCCTGGGGGAGGAGATTTTTTTTTTTTTCCTGGCACTAAATTCTAAAAGAACGATCTCACGTAGGAATTTTGACAGAGAACCTGGTGTTGTAACGGCCGGTTTACTCAATAAGGGCCTTGCGGTAAACACGGGAGTGTATTTCATACGGCTGGTTCTTGTGATAACTTCCAGGAAAACTGAAGGACAAAGGAGCCAGCAAGTAATAGCGATTTTATAGCGGACTAAGCTAAACGAGAAGGATCCCGACATGCTGTGTTTAGTGGTCAAACGCGACCAGAAGAGAAATGGGCGCTTGCCAGAGCTCTCAGTCCTCCTCTCCAGAACCAGTTCTCTCTTTCCTCGGCGGGCTCGGGCCGCGCACGGCCCTGCTTTGCTCTTGCGGTGCTGTCACGCTTCCCGCTCCCTGCTGGGAGGAGGAGAGCCCTGGCTCCCAGGGGCAGGTCATCCGTCCCGGAGGGACGCTGGCAGTGACCTGTAGGACGACTCCCAGAGTCTAATCTGCTGGTCATGTGGCTAAGAAACTAGACAGCTCTCTTCCCCAAAAGGTGACAGAGAAAGTGCAGATCCCAAGGGGCGGGGGGCCGGGGAGTGGGTGGGAACCAGTGTGTAAGGGCCCACACAGGCCTTGGGGTTATCTGGAGCATTAGGTCAGATCCACCTTTGCTGTTTACTGAGTAAATCTGGGCAAATTATCAAACTCTTTGGAGTTTCCATTTTCTCATTTGTGAAATGGGAATAACAAAACCCACTTCACACAGTGGGGACCCAAAGGAAATCAGAGACAGAAAATCTCTAATCTGGCGCCTGACACGTGGGAAATGTTCAATGCGTGGGAATTTCTGTCCTGTGTAATTCATGATGGCACCAACACAGCATATGGTGAAACACATTCCTGGACCCACCCAAGGCACCGACAGGAGCATGTACCAAGGTCTTAGAAGGCACAGCCACACCCACAAGCACAGTCACCTACTGTGGCAATTTTCCTAACAGCCATGATTTCAAATACCTTGTTCCAGAAATTCTAATATGTTCACACCAAACTACGTCACCCCCGGTGCACCCGGCATTGGCCCAGAAGCCCTCTGTCAGGCTGTCCCTCACTTTTCTTCTCTCATACCTCTTCCTACTGTCACACGACCAATTTCCCTTGCTTAGCAGTGTGGAGAGGAGACCGGGACGGTGAATGGAGAGGTCCTGAAAATACCCCTCTTCCAAGCACATTCCCTCGGCTCCTCTGTGTGCCTCTAGGAAGATGCTGACCCAGGCAGGGAGGGGAAATGAGAGAGGACTTGCCATTCCCCTGGGAGCATGAGAGGAATGTTAATTTGAGTGGCTTGGGGTAGATGGCCCAGCTCCCAGCTATGCACATGCTACAGGGCTTGGCGGGACACGCCGAGACCCAAGGCCAGAGCTCCTGAACCAAATGGGCGTCCACCTCTCTGACGTCCAGCCTGTGGCCTATCATTTCTAGATGAGAATTCCCATCTGATGCCTAGAGGCCCCTTGGCACCAGCTCGGGAGATGCCCCTGGAGTCTGTGAGGGTAAGAAAAGCCTCGGTGAGGACACCCACAGGCCCGGGATCCGCTCCCAGATCTCCCGCAGTCACGATGGCTTCCAAGTGAGTCACGCTTGCCCACCTGCACCGTGACGGGGGCCTTGGAGCGTGGAGGGGCTTTGACAACTGCTAAAGAGTTGAGTCACAATGAGAAACGTGTCGTGGCCTGGACAAGTGCCCTGGGATGCCCGGAGGGAACCCTGGTGTCCTAGAGGCTGGAGCACTCAGCCAGGGAAATAGGAAACCCATGTTCAACTGGGCCTGACTCCCAGGGGTCCCCCTCTTTGCAAAGGTGTCCACTGTGCCTGCAGCCCTGGACCCCAGATCGTCCTTCACTGCCTCCTGATAGAGGGGGAACTTTGGGAGGGATGCCTGGAGCAGAGGAAAGAAGGGGACACCACCCCATGTCCCCTGGACTGGTCAGCCATGGAGGCCAGATGTTGAGACCCACCGCTCACATATCTGCTGGCTGTGCTCAGCCCGCTTCCTCCAACCCCCCATGCCACCATTCACAGCCTCCTGCCTGCAGCTCAGGCTCTCAGCAAGGACCTGAGCCGCACGGAGAAGGCCCAGGGGAGGGCTGGGTTACTAATGCCACCCGGCCGGCTGCCAGCATGATGTGGCGAGAGGACAGGCACATTCCTGTCCGACAAGCAACAATGAACGGTCACCACGCAGCCTGGGCGATAGGCTGACCCCTGGAGAGCGGGCTGACCTCGGATGGCATTATCCTTATCTTGAAGCACCAGGCCGTGGCCAGGACAGGAACAGAGGCTCTGGAAGGGTTCAGAAGCTTCTGACCAAAGAAGCTTCCAGCCCAGGGCCCTCTGCTCCATGTGCTGCCTCCTTCCAGCCTTGTACGCTGTTTAAGCATGAAGACGCAGAGGCAGGAAACGGAGGCCAGGAAGCCGGCGGCACAAAAAAGCAGGTGTCCCAACCAGAGAGAAGTCACAGGGGGCATCTATAAACCCCCCTAAAGGCGCCAGCTCTGGGCCCGTGGCTCTGTATACATTTTTTCATTTACTCCTGCAAACGAGTCTTTCAGACAGAAACCATTATTCCCAGTCTGCACAGAAGCAGACTGAAGCTGGGATGAGTTGAGCCTCATAGTCATGGTCCTGAGTTAATCCGTGGCAGAGCCAAGATTCCTGTGGAGCCTTTGACCGTGAGAGCAGAGAGCTCCCGGGCACACCACGACCAGAGGGCCACAGAGGGACTTGTGAACACAAGTGAATGCTGTGTCCATGTCCCACCAGGACAAGGAGCCCCCCATCGGCCTCCAAATGACAGACCTCCCCGAAAAAATGGGGGCAGGGTTGAATGAGGTGCGGGGAAGGAAAAGCTCCACCCATCTCTTGGGGTCAAAGGGTTATGCTAACACCCGGGTGAGGCTCTCCGCCCCCACCCCACAGCTCTCTGCAGAGACACGTCTGCGTGTACGGGTGTGGGCTGCCCCATTCCATACTCACAGCAGCACGGAGAGAAGGAGAGCTGTGGGAGGTGGTTCGTGCCTGCCCCCTCACCCCGCCCTTGCTCAGTTTCTGGCCAGAGAGACAGCATCTGCTCCTGCACTTGCTAGGTCACCAGGGAAAGTCAGTTAGGACATCGTGGCCAAGAGATACCTACGTTGATGATGACACCTTTGTCAAGCAGGCTCTGCTTCTTGGCGGTCATGACAAAATAGTGGGTGCAGTCCTTGTAGTAAACAATGTTCTCGAGGTCAATCCCTGCAAAGAGAAGCGTGCATGGACTCAGTTTTCCTCCCTCTGTGTGCCAGGAGCTCGCCATTGCCACATTGCTCATGTTAGGGAAGGTTTTAAGACATACAAGGCTAGAAAACACAACACTAAGGGCAAGGATTTACCCAAATTCACTCAGCTAGATTTTATAGTCCCACTAAGACATTATCTGTGTGTGTGTGTGTTTTAAAGATTTATTTATTTGAAAGAGAGCAAGAGAGCACATGAGCATGAGCAGGGGGAGGGGCAGAGGGAGAGGGAGAGAGAATATCCTCAAGCAGACTCCTTGCTGGGCACGGAGCCCAGGACCCTGAGATCATGACCTGAGCCGAAATCAAGAGTCAGCTGCCTAAGGGATGGAGCCACTCAGGCGCCCTGAAGATACTACGTGGGTTTGTTTTTTTTTTAATTGAGATATAATTGACATGTAACATGGTGTCAGTTTAAGGTGTACAACATTTTGATTTGATATATTTGTATACTGCGATATGATTAAAGCACTTAAAAAAAAATGGGCTGCCCGGGTGGCTCAGTGGTTTAGCATGCCTTTGGCCCAGGGCATGATCCTGGAGACCTGGGATCGAGTCCCACGTCAGGCTCCCTGCATGGAGCCTGCTTCTCCCTCTGCCTGTGTCTCTGCCCCTCTCTCTCTCTCTCTCTCTGTGTCTCTCATGAATGGATAAATAAAATCTTTAAAAAGAAAACAAACCCTCAAGTCCGTAGGTGCCATGGACCAGTATTTCCAAATTAGAGCTAAGTGTTGCAAAAGGGCCAAGAGCTGTCTGTGGCATGGCAGCAAAGGAACAACAGAGCCAGGATTTGAACCCCAGTCTGCCTAAGTCCCATCCACCATGCTCCCCATGCGGCCAGAGATCCAAAGAGTTGTGTGAATTCCCCCAAGACTGTGCTAAGTGGTGTTTCCACTAGTCCCCTGTGTGTGGAGAAACCCAGATGCCCTTGCAGGAGCAGCTCAGTGTAGAGGGCTGGGTTGTATAACTTTGCACTTTCCAGCAATTGCAAAAACACTTTATAGACTAGGTTTCTGCCTTAAAAAAAAAAAATGCTGTGAGAGCTTAGCTCAGTGGTTTTCAAAGGGGCCCTCCTGGCCTGAGGCATCAGCATCACCTGAGAACCTAGAATTGCATGTGACCAGGGCCCCACTCCAGACCTCCTAAATCAGACACTCAGAGGGTAGGCCCAGCGGTCTGCACTTTGACAAGCCTTACAGGTGATTCTGATGCGTGTGCCAGTTTGCGAACCGCTGGCTTAGCTTTCTCAAAAAAGGAGAGAAAGAGACACATAACAACCTATTAGCAGTCAACAGAGGTGTGCTGGGTAACCCTGGGAACCCCTTTATCACTGCTATATCGGAAAAAGCCATCAATGCAGAGGGCCCCCCAGAGAATGGGAGGAAATTCATCATTGTCACCGTGTAAGGGGCACTATGAAACAATAGCCAAAGGTGACCATCCCAGAAAAATTTAAAGGAAACTCATTGAAACGTTTGGAAAAATACACTCAATGTCCTGTCATAATTCATATTTGGTGGTTTATCAAAGTATTTGTTTTCTTAGTTTTTGAGAGGAAGGGAGGGTGGGGCTAATTCTTAAATCATTCAGAACATTATACACTGAAAGAAAATACTCTCATAAGTTCACGCCACCGTGGTGAAGCTCAGAGGGTCACACGATGGGCACACATCATAGTGGCCAGGGAGTGGCACCATCTGGCTCAGTAAGGAGTCCCGTTCCTAGAAAACCAGCTAGAAATACTCCAACAGGAGCAGTTTTCTCTGTAGCGGCGAATAACTGAAAGGTCTAAATCAGAGGCCAGACAGTAAATATGTCGGGCTTTGCGAGCCATCTGGGTCCCATCCGCTCACGGGGGAGCAGCCACAGGAATGGGCATGACTGGGTGCCAATAAGCTTTCCTTTATGGACGCTGAAACTTGAATTTCGTATAACTTTCAATTTGTCTTAAAATACTCTTTTCTCTTCAGCCATTCCAAAATATTGAAGCCATTCTCAGCTTGAAGGCAATCCGAACCCATGTGGCCAACCACCGTTTGGCAGCCAATTGGTGTATGTTCAGTGACATACACCCACTTCATGAGCTATTCTGCAGCCTGCAAAACTGACCATCAGAAGGACTCGGCTTCCATGTGGGCAATATTTACAATGTGATGCCGAATGAGAAAACCTGAATCACAAAGAGTATGGACGCTCTGCTAAGAACTGGAGCCACTTAAAAAGGGATGGTGATGGTACAGGTGGACAGTTGCCGGAAAGCAGTATATGGGCATGAGGACGATTTCTGTGCTAGGTGATGCGAGGTGTGGATGATTTACTTCTAGTATAAACATTTTAGAGGCGCCTGGCTGACTCAGTCGGTTGAGCCTCTGACTCCTGGTTTCAGGTCAGGTCATGACCTCAAGGTCCCAGGATCAAGCCCTGCATCAGGCTCCATGCTCAGGGTGGAGTCCACTTGAGATTCTTTCCCTCCCACTCCATCCCCCCTCCCCTCACTCACACACCTGCGCTCTCTCTAAAAATAAAATAAAATCTTTAAAAATTCTTATTTTTTTAAAAAAATTTCTCCTTTTAAGGAGAAATATAGATTTTAAAATCAGGTTAAAAGAAGAATCTGGAATTTACTTAATTGGGAGCAAGATTTCATCTCTCTTTCTCCTGGCTGTGCTTTACTTCTCTCTACCATCTTTCTGACTGCCTGATGTGAGACTTGTTTGTTGACAGTCTCCCCCCATAGAATATAAGCTCCAAGAGAGGGGTCTTGTTTTGCCCACTGCTCTTTCTCAGGCCTTTGAGCAGCATCTGGCACATAGGAGGCAGTCGGTAAATATTTGTTGGGTAAGTGAATGAATATCTTCTTTCCTCAAGGCCCATGGCTATGGGACAACTGAGGCTGTGGGCTGAGTACAGGTTCCCTGGGTATCCCTGATGGGAAAGGGCAGCTGGCACACTGCACAGAAGAACCTACACTTCTTCAGGGACCAAGTACAGGTTACTGGCTCCCTCCTGAGAGGGCTCCCTGAAGCTCGGGCATAGACTGACCTCCCTGCATTAGGATGGTTTACCTGGGTGTCCATCACTGGATAAGGAGTTACTTGGAGAGGGGATCATGTCAACCTCAACTCTGTATCCCATGACACTCAATATTGGCACACAATGGCCACTGAATAAATGCTGATTGAGTAAATCAATCTTTATCCATTTTCAGGCACAACATCCAGAACTTTCCCCAGAGAATCTCTCTTGTCCTTGAAAGAATCCTGCCAAGTTCTGCCCTAAGAAGTCCTCACTTTCACTTTATCAGAGTGAGTCTCCCAACCCCAAGAGCTGAGAAAGCCCAGACTGGACGATGGCCTGCTTTGGAGAAAAGTGAAGGTCCCACCTGTTTCTTCTTTAAGGTCCTGAAAAAATTTCTGGTTGAAGATGAAAGCCACACCACTAATCTCTTCCACCTTGGCCTCAGCTGTGCTGTTTCTGTTTATGAAGTTGGCGGTGATGGCAATAGCCAGCTTCCCACGGAATTCTTTCCTTCTGAACCCTGCATGAGGAAAAAGGAAAAAAGGGAGTCTTTCTTCTGCCTTTGGTGTGAAAACTGAGAAAGATTACCAAGGAAGCTATTCTCAGATGCCTCACAGGCCTGTGAACTCAGAATCCTACGCCTCTGGAGAAGAGGGACAGGTGGAAATGCCAAGGTTTGTCCCCGGGGAAGAAACAGGTCACCAGAGGCCTCAGTCAGCGGGACTTTTTCCGTTCCTAAAATCTATAGGACCAATTATTCGGCTTAGGCTTCTACAAACAAAAGGCCAAAGTGATCTTCCCAGCAGGCTCATCCTGTTAAAGACTTGTTAGGCACGGTTGCTAGGCACCCTCATGACATAGGCACTTTGAACTTCTACGATTAAAATTATGTTGTTAGTATTTTTCATGTATTCCTCTCTCTGAAAAGTAGGACCATGAGACTGAATTCCTGTGGGATGGGGATTTTAACAAATTTTCTATTTCTAGTCTCCAGTGACTGGCACTTAGTCGACACTCAATAAATACATAATGAGCAAACAAAATTCTAACTTGCAATTGATGTAATACAATGATTCCATGGGGTTCTTCTAGTTGTGGATGGTTTACATTAATGCTTTTTAATGGTGGTCACACTTAAATGGAGCATCTTCCGCCAATCCCCTTTCTTTGTAGCATCTGGCTATCCCACAGTCCTGACTCTTCCTCTGCCCCAGACACTGTTGTCTACTTTGCTTAACTCAAGGCACTCATCACAAGGGCGGGCTCGCTGGCCATGCCTTTGTCTCCTGCCTCCTCCGGGAACTCGCCCCACATTTGCTCACCACATACTCAGACCTCATGCCGATCCCCAAACTTTTCTGCCAAAAATCCCTGTGACTGGAAACCTTGTTTTTTTTATTCTCAATATCTCCTCCTTAAGTCATTCTTCATTAGACTTTTATCAAAATGGTCAGAAATGGCCATTATTGTCTAGTCAAGTATTTCTTAATTGGGAGTGACCTTGGCCCCCAGAGGGCATCTTGGCAATGCATGGAGACATTTCTGGTTGCTACAACTGGGAGGGTGATGCTCTTGGGGTCTAGTGGGGAGAGGCCAGGGATGCCACTAAGCATCCTATTGTGCACAGGACAGAGAATGATCTGTCCCCAAATGTCAACAGTGCCAATATAGAAAAACCCTGCTCTAGTCTATTTATTTGGTGCTAAGCTGCCTAAATGGCTCTCCTTCTTCTCACCTTTCTTTTCTTGTCCACAAAATGCCTAAATGCCTATACTCAGGCGGGGTACGGATTTTGGATTGGAAAATATTCAGACTTACGGTTTTACCTAACCACCAAAATGGCCTCATAAATTCTAACAGCACAACATCCAGGTTAGCAGCTTAAAAAGGTCTTTGTCAGATATTGGTTATTGATCGTAGGGGTCAGGCAAGTACAGGGATGGAGGAGAAGAGAGAGGTACAAACGTGAGAAAAGGGCCCTGGTGGCACAGCAGGTGGGTAGAGCCCAACTAGGCAGCCCGCACCTCCGGAGTCCTCCAACATCAGCCTTCTTTCAGGGAGTGTGTTCTGTCCTCAGAGGAGGTACCCTCCCAGGCAGACAGCCACAGCCTGCAGCCCTTGAGCAGGGCAAGCTTGAAGAGGAGGTCTAGTTGTCAATCTAAGAGATGCCATGTGGAACCACTTTGTCCACAGTCTGTAGTCTGGCATTAATACAGTTAGCGCAAATTAGTACGACCTCTGCATCAATTAATCTTCGTGGGAGGGGCAGCCCGGGTGGCTCAGTGGTTTAGCGCCGCCTTCAGCCCAGGGCCTGATCCTGGGAGCCCAGGATCGAGTCCCACGTCAGGCTCCCTGCATGGAGCCTGCTTCTCCTTCTACCTGTGTCTCTGCCTCTGTGTGTGTGTGTGTGTGTGTGTGTGTGTGTGTCTATGAATGAATAAATAAAATATTTAAAAAAAATGTTTGCGGGAGGGGTTAGGTGATTGAAGGCGCTTCTGGCAGGGGCATTCCTCTCCCAACCTGACCAGATCTTACTCTAAGAAGACATGTTCTACTTCCAGCTTCAGAACTCAGAGAAGCACAGTTTTGCACCTTGACAGTCTGGGAAAAACTTAGCCTACTGCCCAGCGGTGAGTGTGCTTAAAAGTTACAAAAAGAGATGGGCTCCTCCTTCTGAAGTATGACACATGGCAGTAAAAAAGAATACTGCCGAGGATATAAGAATGATTGTCTTAGATGAAGTAAACATGAAACGCTTAGTACCATGCATCGCACGTTGACAGGTGCTCAATAAATGTATGTTGACTTTTAATTTCCATGACACTCTATAAAGCAGTTTTACATATGAGTCCTTTCCTAGTCCTCATGACGACGCTCTGAGAAGATTCTATTACCTACATTTTACAGGTGGGAAACCTGACGTTCAGAGACCATTAAATGCCTGCCCTCTAAATGCTCAGCCTCAGGCATGGCAGGACAGTCTGCCCTTCTCTGAAGGCCCACATCTGGCTTTGGCACCTGCCATCCTGTTCCCACTCTGTACCCACCGCTCCCAACGCCCCACCAATTCCTCAGCTCCAAGAAGAGGAGTCTTCACCTTCCAGGGTGTTCCTGCGGCCGTCAGCACCAATGATGACATCAAACTCAAAGTCCGACAGCGGGTGGTCCGCAGGGAGAAAGTCTGCCCGCCAGCCGATTTCTACCAGAGCAGAAAAATGATTTGAGTTGGCAGAGAAAGGTGGGAGGCCCTTCAGGGGCGGCCAGGAAAAGGGGCAATACCACTAGGTGGAGGGCCCCCAGACAAAGCTGCCAGAGGAAAGATCCAGAGTTATCCTAGACCACATTCTCATCTAGAATCCTTCTGGCTTTAATACCAGTTCAGTCTAGGACAAGGTAAACCAGCAGCCCCAGCCCCAGCCCCATGCCTGACTTAACTGTTTTCTCTAAAGGCTGAGAGTCTATCCTCAATGACTCTGGAGCCAGTCTCACTTGAACCCCGTTGGTCTCAGTGTATTCTATCAAAGCCAGTTTGAATTCCCACTTCATTACGCTCGAAACCTTCTGTGGGGCAGCCCACGGCCTTCGATGAGAACATCTCCAGGTAAGACCTTGCTGGTCACCCGTAATTGGGTTTGAGAAAGGTTACGGGCACACAAATCTCTGGAAGTTCATTAACAGATGCTGTCCTGCTACAAGAGCCACCCAACACCTCTCCTACTAAATTCTGAAGTATTCTGGGCCGAGGACAGGAGAGGCCAGAGTTGTAATGAGCACGTGAAGCTCTGAGGTCTCCAACACTAACCTGCCCTAACTACAAGCCCTGCCCAGGCAGCAGCAGCTTTTGATAATAAATAGGATGTAGAGGCATCATGAACAAACTCTCTGCCCGTGGCGCGTGTGAGATCGGCATTTATGTAAACATACCAAAAGGGAAAAAAAATTACTAAATAATAAGACATCTATAAATGAATGAATGAATGAATGAATGAATGAATGACATATCCACAATGGGGTGAATGCTGTGGCTTGTAAATTATACTTAAGTAAGGCTTAAAAATACTATGTACCAAATAATATCATGAGCACTTATCTCATATTTGTTCTAGAAGCTTCACTTTTTTAAAAAATTGGGTTTTAAAATATCATGTGGGTATAAGCGTATCCACATCTCTGAGTGTGTTCCCACACAGCCTGAAGAGCATAGGAATGAACTTCATCAAACAAACAAATCTAGCTCTTCTATTCTAATTACCCATCACTTCATTTGTCAAAGTGCCACCTCTCAGTGACAGGGTAACCAAACTATAGGTTTCCTGACTTAATCCTCCGGGAAAAGCAGCACAAGCCTACAGTGACAGCCTTGGTCAGAAAAGGCAAAATCATCCTGTGATGGATTCATGCCAAACAGCTCCCAACAAGAATAACTCTTACAGGAACATCCTCTAGGAGCTACAAATGCGATTTCCATTTCGCAATATCTGACTTTTAGACAGAAAAGGAAAAATTATACTGTACTTTGATTTTCTTGATCTTCAGGTGGTTCTAGAACCTTTACAAACTCCACATTCACATGGATTTCAACTCCCAGCATCAGGGCCACTTTGAATAGGATCAGCTGCAACTGACGAATGCCTGTTGGAAAGGAAAGGGGGAAGAGAAAAAGTGTCAGGAGCAATGCTTGAGCACCTTCTGCATACAGGGTACTATATAATCGCAGCTCAGGAATCTCTGAGCACAGCACTGTACCAACCGTGATTACTATAAGAACGAATTATGTGGCAACCACTCAGGGTTTTCTCACTTAACCCTTATTGAGACCTATTGGGATAATTATTCCCATTTTATAGATGAGATGTTGAGGCTCTGTATGGTGAAGTGACTTGCTGAAGGTCAAACAGCAGCAAAACTAGAATGAGGACCAAGATCTGTCTGATTCTAAGACTGTGCTCTAGCATTTAGAAAATGCTATAATGATGGAGGCTCTCCCTTCCCTGCCTCCTCCCTGAGATGGGCTACAGGTCTGATGCAGTAAAGAGAGAAAGAAGAGTAGACCTAGACACTCATGGCCACCAGTCAAATCAGTGACAAAATGGCTCATTTTGTAGAGAACTGGGCCTAAGCTCTTAGCCATCCAGTGGCAGGGGCAGGTGGGGAATCCTCTCCATAGAGCTGGACTCATGGTAATTTGCCTCCTACCCACTTTCCTAAACTCCCCCAACAAGTGGTACCACCTCGTTCCTCTACCTCGTCCCCACACACTTAGCACATGGGTATGCCTCCAAATATTTTTTTTGTAGAGCAAGAAACTTTCTGGGAATCCCTCTGTATTTTGTGAGCTTTGTTCACTTAACATTTATTGAGCATCTACAATGGGCTAGGTGCCATGGTCGGCACAGAGACACAGAACTCACTCCAGGGGAGGAAATGCAGGTGGACAGGCTAGGGCAGGCCAGGGAGGTGGCAGAGGGAAGTGGAAGGACAGGGCCTGAGCTGCCGTCCTGGAAGCCTAGAGAGTACTAAATCCCACAGATGGAGATGACTGCAAGGTTAGGAGGCTTCTGGGGGTGGGAATCTCAGTGACCATCACCCTCACAGGGCAGTGGGGGAAGAAATCAGATCCAATGGAATGGGACACATAGACAAAGCCTACGTCCCCTCTTTCTAGAATAAATGCTTTGTAATAGAAAAAGATAAAGGCAATAGCAGAGGGTGGAGGGGCAGTGAGGTAAGGGGCAGGAGAGCAGGAGGGAGCAGAGGGGATGAGCAGCCACCTCTGCCTGGGACACAGGGCGAGGGGAAGAAACGGGTCCTAGATGGAGGCGAGTGCAGGAGGAAGGAGAGGGGCCAGGAGTGCCAGCCAGTGGCTTCTCCTCCCCAGATCGCAGGAGGCAGGCCATCTGCTCAGGAGGAGGAGGCTGTGGTGGAGGTTTGGAGCAGCCGCCTGGGAACTGGAGGAGGATGCTGGCACAGGACAGTCAGGAACTGCTGAGCAGTACTGGGGGCTGGGGCACAGCTGGGGCTGGGGACCAGGGTGGGTCTGAAAGGAAGCCAGCCCCCCTCCTGCCTGGAAACAGGCCAAGGCCTCAGAGGCCTGGCCACTCCTCATCATTCCAAGGTTCCTAATCTATCTTGTTCCAGCACATGGTAGATGTTGAAAAAATTTCCCCTGCCTCCTTTCTCACAGGCAATGGAATCACTCTGGTCAACGAGCACCCTGAATATCGGGATCCCAGATCCAGAGTCCTGCCAGTATTTCTGTGCAGTGGGGTTTTCCCAAGAACTAGGGGTTAAATGGGAGCCTCACCAGTGGAGCAGAGAGGGGCTCTGGGCCAGCAGAGAAGGCAGCCCGACAGACTGCGGGCCCTCACAAGGCCCCCCTGGTGCCCAGCTCTGCCTCTCAGGAGGGCTTGTTGAGAAAGTGGTGCTCGGTGCTGTAGTTCTGAATTGGTAACATGCATTCTTCTGTGGGTGGTAGAGAATATCCCGAAAGCTGACACTGCAGCCTTCTGGGCAAACCCAAATTTCTTTCCAATGGACTCCTAGGATTTTCTCATCCCAGAGTGGGAATAAAGTCTGGGGCCATTGCTTATCGGTTCCCCTGTAGCTGTGACTAAATTACACCCTTTGTGGCTGACCACCGTCTCCAGTCATTCCTCTGAGTCCCACACCCTTTCCCATCGGTTCCAGTCCTCATGAGAACGTGGCTCACAGGGCTCTCCTCCCACCCACGGGTTGAGACTGCAGCTCTGAAATCTAAAGCTGGGGACCCTGGCTGCATCTGGCTCACTGTACACCAAATGGACACAAAGCATTTTCCGAGTACCTACTACCGGCCAGGCATGGTGATGAGCACATCACAAACTTGACCTCACTTGATCCTCTCAGCAGTCCTGGGAGGCAGGCATTCATCACGTGAATGGAGACCAAAGCTGGGTCTGTGTGTCAAGCACTCTTTTATGCCCTGGAGACCCTCTAGTGAACAAGACATGCCACAGGACCCGACCTCGTGGTAGTTACAGCTCAGTGGGGCACACGTAGCACAGAGCCGGCATAAGGCACAAAGCAGGCCTTTTGGGAAATGTCTACCAGTTGAATGAATGGATCCCCCAGCAGCTTGTAAGCTGGAACATCCCAGAGGCTCCTCAATGTGTAGAGATGTGCCCCACCCACAGTCAGCCCCATCCCTGAACAGGGTGCCACCACTGGTTCTACTCACTGATGTGGTCAATGGAGCCAGCGCAGAACTTCCCATAGAACTTCTTGGCCCCCAGGCCCCGTAGGTCATGGATGGTGAAAGGCCAGAGGTGCAGCACATTGTTCCTGGAGAAGGTGTCTCTCTTCTCCACCACAACCACTTTGGCCCCTAGGTAGGCAAGTTCAATGGCAGTGCGCAAACCACATGGTCCTCCTCCAATGATGAGACACTGCAAGAAGTAAGAGAGGAGAGAGATGTTCAGTGGCCCCTAGCACTGTGACACAAACCCCTAGTCAATAGCTAACTGGTTCGCTCAAATCAACCAGCAAGTACAAACCAAGTACCTGTTAGGACCTGCCATTCATCCACTCAAGGCACCTTACCTGTGAGCCAAACTAGGCATTGCGCCAAACCCTGGGAAAGACGCAGAGTTTTAAAGGGATTTGGGGGGAGGCACAGAAAGATACACTTGAGGTTCTGAGTCAGATTAACCTGGGCTTAAACCCCAGCTCTGGCATTTGACTTCTTAGCTTCCTCATCTGTGAATGAGTCTATTACTTTTCCTTCATAGAATTATCAAAAATAAGACGGCTTGTAAAAAGCTTATGGTGCATCACTGTGACCTTGGATTAGGCAATGGTTTCTTAGATGTGATAACAAAAGCACAGCAACAAAAGAAGAAAGAGAAAAATTGGACTTCATGCCTAAAGCCTTTTGTGCTTCAAAGGCCACCATAAGGAAGTGAAAAGACAGCCCAAAGATGGGAGAAAATGCCTGCAAGTCGTATATCTGATAAGGGACTAGTATTCAAATATATAAAGAGTTTAACAACTTAATAATAAAAAACAAGATGATCCAATTAAGGAATAGGCAGATAATCTGAATAGAAATTTTTTTCAAGGAAGGTATACAAGTGGCCAATAAGCACATGAAAAGATGCTTAACGTCATTAGCTATCAAGGAAATGCAAATCAAAGCCACAATGAGATGCCACCTCATATCCACTAGGAGGACTATAATCAAAAATACAAAAATAAAAGTTTTGGTAAAGATGTGGAGAAACTGGAACCCACATACATTGCTGGCAGACAAGTAAAATGGTATAGATGCTTTGGAACAGTCCAGTAGTTCTTCAAAAAGTTAAACACAGAGTTGCCATATGAGTCAGCAATTGTATTCCTATGCATAAACCCAAGAGAAATGAAAATATATGTCTACACAAGAATGTGTACGTGAATGTCCATGGCAGCATTATTCTTTATACCCAAAAAATAAAAACAACTGAAATGTCCATTAATTGATGAATAAATAAAATGTGGTATATCCATACAATGGATTATTCAACTAAAAAAGGAATGAAGTCCTTTGAAGGAATGATGAACCTTGAAAATGTCATGCTAAATGAATGAAATCAGAGCGACACATACTGGATGATTCCATTCATAGAAAATGTCCAGAATAGGCAAATTAATGGAGATAGAAAGTAGGTTAGTGGCTACTAGGGAATGGGGGAAAGGAGAGTGGAGAATGACTGCTAATTGGCATGTGGTTTCTTTTTCTGGTGATGAGATATTTTAGAATTTGATAGTTGGGGTGGTGGCACTTTGTGAATATATTAAAGCCATTGAATCATATACTTTATTTTTTTAAAGGAGTATTTTCTTTTTTTCCTTTTTTTAATTTTTATTTATTTATGATAGTCACACAGAGAGAGAGCTAGAGAGAGAGGCAGAGACATAGGCAGAGGGAGAAGCAGGATCCATGCACCAGGAGCCCGATGTGGGATTCGATCCCGGGTCTCCAGGATCGCGCCCTGGGCCAAAGGCAGGCGCCAAACTGCTGCGCCACCCAGGGATCCTGAATCATATACTTTAAACAGGTGAATGATATAGTATGTGAGTTACACCTTAATAAAATACTTGTATGAGAAGTAAAAGCACATGTTATGAAGTCTGGTACAGGCTAGTGTAGATTTTTCTACACTGACTTTTATTCTTGTCACTAAGACCCAGTCCCTGTCTTCTAGGGTCTCTCCATCTCGTGGCAAACTCAGACTTGTGGAATAAGTAGCCAGAACTCTTTGTGGCTAGTTCTATTGGGGGCCCAGAAGAGGAGATGTTGACCCTGTCTGATAAACTGGAAAAGACTTCACACTTTAACAAAGACCTTCTTTAACGATGCCATCTTCACCATCATTCTCACCGTTGCCATCATCACCACCATCCTCATCATCACCCTCACCACCTCCTCACCACCATCCTTTAAAAAAAAATTATGTATTCATGAGAGGCATAGAGAGAGAGGCAGAGACATAGGCAGAGGGAAAAGCAGATTCCCCACAGGGAGCCTGATGTGGGACTTGATCCCAGGAACTCAGGATCATGATCTGAGCCAAAGGCAGACGCTCAACCACCAAGCCACCCAGGCGCCCCACCCTCACCACCATCCTTCATCATCACCCCCACCCTCACCATCACCAGAGTCTGCATCTGTTGAACATTTACTACATGGCAGACACTCAGTTTATGTGCATCATGTGTTCTAGCTCTTAGTCCTCACAACAAACCGAGGAGGAAGAAACTTGTTATTCTCATTACACAGATGGGAAAACTGAGGCACAATGCAGCTAGGGAACCCAGGTGGTCTCACTCCAAAGCCCATAACACTGTACTACTACTTCTGTCCTACTTGTGCCAGGAATAAAAAGAAGAAAGAACGTTTCAGCAGATGAGATCACCCATTCGAAGAGAAAGAAGTTCAAGATGGATGGAGAGGAGGATGCTTTGGGAGAAGGGAAAGGAAGGAGAGGCAAGAGATGAGGGTCAGTCTGGAGCCAGATGCTAAAAGTCCTAACCACCAAGGGAAGGACTATGGCCTTGCTCCCGCAGACCCTGGGGCCAGGGTGAGCAGAGGTGACAAAACCAGATTCTATACAAGCCCCACACTAGGTCTCAATGGACATTGCAATGTTGAACAAGACAAAGGTCCTTCCCCAAGGAAGCTACAGCCTATTAGGAGAGAAGGCACAACATAGAATGACCTAACTGGTTTTACTGGGCAAAAGCCCTTCTACTCAACGTCACCAGTACCATATAAAGACAGGGGAAATGACAGTAGACTCCTGTGCAGCACCCAGCCCTGCCCCCAGGCAGCCCTGAAGCTCCTTCACGGGGCCAGGGTCCGCCTGGGGCTGGAGGAGGTGGAGGCGTGGGTGATGGGATCTAGATCCCTGAGGATACCCCAGCAAGGCAACCGAGAAGGAGACCTGTACCCACACCTCACTGTTCCACATTGCAGAGGCGTCTGGAAACTTCCCTTCTGCTCAGGATCAAACCTTATCTTAAAAAAAAATGCATTTCTCTTCCCCTAGCAAATATTCCATTGCCCAGTTATCACTCCTCTGGGGCCTCTGGGGTCTCAAAGGGAAAGTACAAACAAGCATATCAGAAACTCCCACACCACAATCAGTGTGGCTTACTGGCTGGAACCTTCCAGAGAGTTTGTGGAGACCTCATTAGGAGAAATGAAGTCACCACTGAGATAGAGCTCAGTCCAGAGACTTCGGGGGAGCGGGTATGCAAATCCTTTTGCCTCCCTTCTGGTTGGAGCAGACCGCGGAGAACCGCTCCTTATCTCACACCCCGAACAGCTCCTCTGGCTTGACATAGCCAGACCATGACGGGCATGTCAAAGGAAGATTCCAAGCCCTGACACTCTGAGGTTGCCTTTGGGGTTAAAGCCTGGATTCACTGCATTTCTTTGCAGTTAGTGCATCTTTTCCTGTTTGCTGACTCCTGTCACTGGGGGGCCAGGGATGGTGCGGGGGTGGGAGGATATGGGGGGGAAGAGGGCAGGAAGAAAAGGAGGGGAGCAGGCCTGACCCCACGCTGCTCCCAGAGCAAGGCAGGAGATACTTTTCCCACCTGTTGGGGGGCTGCTTGGAAGTCTTCCTGCCGATGGTAGCCAGTGTACTGTTCCCTACCCACCCAGCGGACCCCAAAACCCCACCAGCGAAAACTCAGTCTTCCCACTGCTCTGGGCCCCAACAAATACTTCGGGCCTGAAATTTCAGACATGCCAGTCACACTGTAATCTAAAGTCAAAGCAAATACCAACGGGCCTAATTATATAAAGGGAGAAAATTCAGTGCAGATGTTATCAAGACAGGAGGGAAGGCTTGTTGGCAGGGGCCGGGCCAGCTCCTCTCAGAAAACACTTGTTATGATTAACATGGTAACTGGGAGTTCTGAGCAGAGGCCGGAGCCTGCAGCTGCTAGGGGCCCGGGCAGAGGGCAGGAAAGACGGCGGCCACCCCAGTGTGCCCACAGGTGATGCTCTGGATGCTGGGCACGGTGCAAAGAGACCTCAGGTGCCAAGGGTCGTGACAGCTCAATCTGGAAAAAAAAAAAAAAAAAACGAAAACAAAAACCCTCTCCACGTTTCCCAGACCTGTCTGGGCTCTCACTGCTTGAGGATTTGTTGCCAAGGAAAGAAAACTTTTCATTAAAACTCAGCCCCCAGGCCTTCCTCGAGCCCCTAATTATACTGCACATTCCATCCACAGGTTCTCTCCTTAATGCTACCCCAGAACTAAGCTCTGCGTATTATAATTATCCGCATCTGTTTCCCAGGCCGGCGGGAGTGCTCCTCAAAAGCTGTCCCCCCCAATCCTCTGCCCTGTTGGACGCTCAGAGCCCAGCACACGGCCAGGCACACAGGAGGCCCCAGTAAACAGCTGATGGATGAATGAACTTCTCACGCCCTCCGCGCCCACCCAGTTCTGGCTTTCCGTCAGTAACCGGGATGGTCAGCGCATGTCAGCCAGGGTTTACGTCTGCATTTCCCACCCAGGCCGGGGGAGCTGGGGTCTGCCAAGGCCATCAGCATCACGGACGTCAGCAGATCAGTGTGCTCAGGCGACATAAATTTATTACCCAGTGGGAGTGGGGCAGATCCAACACCAGCAGGAAGTCCATTGTATAGATAAGCTTGGCTGGGCTCAGGCCTCTGCATTTGTGGAGAAACAAACACCACATGGAAAAATCAGCTCTTATTTATCAAGGGGTGGGAAGAGGGGACAAGGGGACTAGCCCATGATGGTGCTTCAGGCACGCGGCTGGGGCAGTCCCGGTCACACAGGGCTCTCGTGCCACCCGAGAGGAGCCCCGCAAGCACTCCCCCATTGCTTGATGACCCGGTGCATCTTCCAATCCACCAGTGGGTGGGTGT